TGAGCCCTGTGCCCAATCCTGTTCAAAACAAAAAAGCCTGCTTAGGGCTCTCTCCCTTACTGAGGAAGTCCAAACTGGGAAGACTGGACAAATCTGCAAAAGGACTTTTTAGCTATGTGATTGTTTTGTTTTGTTTGTTCTCTGGACTCGAGAACCCTGTGGTGTGGGGGTTTTTTCTACCTCATGCAGGAACTATAGATAACTGTGGGGATCACCAATTTATTACAGCTAAATTAAAGTGGTTTGTAAAATGGAAGGGAAAATGGCATGTCTGGAATTACTCCAGAGAAAGAGATCAAATGAGTAATCTTCTGGCTTATTTATTTATTGAGGAGCTAAGAGCAGACTTGCTGTTTGGATGCCTTTGTAAATGGACAGGTTTTGCACATCTTTGAGATCCATATTGTTCTCAGTATTTGTCACAGTATTAAACTTTCTCAAGCAGAAGGCCCCCAGTGCAGAGAATACCTTGTCTTTGCCCCATGGCATCTTCTGAGTTAGCAACACTGTGGATTGCTGCAGTACCTGCCAGACCTGTGCCTTTCCTGGAAAATGTTGAGAGCCATCAATTCCAGCAGTGCCAGTATGCACCATGTAGCATAAACTGAATGAGAGCCCAGAGGAGCTGTGGGCAGCTCTTGTGTTGAAAGCCTGTTGATGCTGGGCTATTTGCAGGTCACAGAACCTGTCTGGAGACCTCCTCCCCAGCTTCCATGTGAAGAGAGAGCACAAGGAAGGGGCATGAGTGGAGTTGTTTCATAACTTTCCCAAACAGAGCAGCTCCTCCTGTTTCTTTTGGTTTGGAAGTGCCATGTGCTGCACACCTGCAGGCTCCTAGGAAGAGGGTGGGCTTGGCTGGGCTCACCTCAGAGTCTGTTTTGGATTAGTCCTCCTCTAAAGGTTGATTCCAGCTACTGTTATTTGTTCTGTAGTCCAGATTTGCAGCACTGAAATGTTCAGGATTCAACCAATGATCGTGTTGCATTTGTGAAGAGATTATTGTAATTGTGCACAACATAGTTTTTCTCTTTTTTGGCCCATCTAGACTTCTGTCTAGAAGGTGTGAGTTACACTTAGGAATAATGAGGGTCTTTTAGTTACATGATTACATGCTGGTTTTTTTTCCTTGAACAGCATGCTGCTTAATTTTAGCATACAGGATGATTCCACAAGGGGAGAGAATTATGACTGCATGAGCAAGTGCAAATCTACCATTTCCTAATTTGTGAATGCCTTCTCCCCACCTCCCCAACCTTTTCTGCAATGGAAGAGCGTTTTCCTTCTTTTTTTTAAAAAATGTGATGTATTTAAAAATTTTGCTGTTGATGCCTCTGTGAAAAAGATGCAAAATTCAATGTCCCTTTTGCCTTTTTTCCTTGAAATAAAAAGCTCCTTCTCTTGTGTCTCTTGTTTTTTGGACACTGCATAGGAATGTTAAAGGTTAAGGAAGTTAATTTGCTTTTTGTTTTCTGTGTGCCGTCTATGCGTTCATTATTTTTGACAAATCTAATACTTTATCAAATTCTTGTCTTACATAAGGCATTAGGTTTAATCAAAAGATTTTTTTTTTTAATATCATAACCTGTCATTTTTCGTGTTGGGGAAAAAAGAAAAACCGGTTTTGTTTAATCCAAAGTAAAGCAAGGAAGTGCTGGAACCACACCTGCAAATTTGTCAGTTTTTCCCCTTCAGAAGTGCAAGTTGCTGGATTCCTGAAGGAACAGTTTTGGCATACATGAACAATAAAACTTCTTAAAAGCAGATGATTGGAGCTAATTAAAATTCTCAGGACAAAAACAGTTGTGATCCCAGGGGGCCTGGGAATTTCAGTTCTTGGAGAAATGCATCTTGCAGTAGGAGCAAGTAGCGATCACATCAGAATTGGGATGATATCCATGGTGTTCATCACCAAAAAATGTAGCTTGGCTAATTCACACGAGCTTAATGTATAAACTGCTCTTGCCATTTTGCTTTGAAAGCTTCTGGGGTAATGTCTGTTTAGGTGTTTTCCCTACTCTTATTACTCATATTTCAGATTGTTTCTTTTCTTCTTGTTTTTCTGAATAGCTCCCTGTCCTCCTTAGGATTGCCCTGCTGGCACACAAGTAGCCATCATTTGCATTTATGCTTTAAAGTGTATAAGGCTTTCGATTTATAGATTGAAATAACATAACTTGTTTGCACAAAGGAAGCAAAATTCTGTTTCTTGATGTGGACTAGATTCAGATTAAAAAGCTCCAGTGTGACAAAGGAGAAAAAGTCCCACAGAAACCCTCCTGCTCTGCACCCCTTCCCCAGTCTCTTCAGTGATTTCATGCCAGGTGTCTGCTGCAGCTGAATATTGCCAATGGCCAGGGCTTTGCACATCGTCCTTGAGTGTTTCTGATGTAAAGTCTTTCTGCTCTGTGTGCTTTGTTTCTTTAGCTGTGCACAATGCCTTGCCCGGCACTCTCACTTTTGCTGACACAACTATTTTTGGAGCTGTACTATGACCTGTATCAGGGAAGCCATCCTGCTTTTTTCTTTTTTTTTTAATGGATGGGGTGTGGGCAGAGGAAGGAGCTGGAGCTGGTGAGAACCAACCCCACATTGCAGCCACAGTGGTGTCTCCTTAAGTGGGGCCTGTGACATTTCCTTTAAATGCAAACTCTGAGCCTGTCCAAGTGTCTTAAGCTGCTATTGGGGGACTTATTAGAAGAACATGTCAGAATTCTGTTTTGTAGCTACCTTGTAAGGGCACAAACTTGGGTACTTCAGTTAGCATCTGAATTTTTACAGGAGCTTACAGAGTCATGATAATATGCCTCAGAACATAAGCAAGTGCAGCAAACAGCTCTGAATCATTTGTCTTCAGCTCAGCTGAATAGGGTACAAGTCAGTCGGGACTTTGGTGCAAAAGGCTTAAATTAAATCATCTTCCTACTCCTCACCCCCAGTTGGGCCCACTACATTGCAACACATTTTGTGAGACTGTGCTTAAATCAATTCTAAAAGCCATGGTTTTCATGTACCAGTGGAGTATATATATATATTTTATTTTGAAGTTTGCTATTGGAGTTTTGTTTTAGTTTAGAGTGTATGTACACCATGTGCTATGCTTTAGCACACATTTTCCAAACTCTGTTCTATGCTTTTTGTTGTTTCAGCTGGATTTTATCTCCTATTAGCAAGCTCCAGCCAAGGTGTGGTGACTGACAATAGAAGGTTGATGTAAACATTAACAAATTAACTGGGGCGGGATGTGTGCTGGGCAAGGCCGGCAGCAGGAACCTTTGCTCAAGTGCAGCGCATGACCCCAGCACAGCTGGGAGCAGATTGCTGGCCAGTGCCCCTGCACAGGAGAGGGGGAAATCACAGTCAACCCAAGGGCACTGGCATGTGTAGTGAGGGTGCTGAGAACAGAGCAAAGCTGAAGGGCTTGGAAGGCAAGGACAGCGCTTCTAAGCATTTTGAAGATCTTGCCTCAGAGCTCAGTGGTTGGGGTGCAACTTCCTTCAATGCTAAAGGGCTGAAGAGCTGAATCAGCTTGGCTGAGATTAGAGCTGTGATCCCACACGTTTTAAGTTGGGCTACCAATTGCAAACATACACTTCCCAACAGATCACACTGTCCTCTTGGAACATATGAGGTGTAAGTTGTTTGGTGCACTGAATGTTTCTGCTTATCTCACTGCTTGAAAGCTTGCACTAGAAGCTAGTGGGATACTTCTTTCCTTTCTGCCATATCTCCCTTCTAAACTTTTTCTGTTAAACTTTGGAAACTGTGCTCCTGCTACAGCCATCTCACCTGGAAAACACACCATGGAACAAACAATTGCTAAAGTCTCAGGGGTTGAGCATTGCCCATGCTCACGTGGCAGTTCAGTAAGTGCTGTGTGCTGCCTACTCTCAATTCTTCAAAGTGGGGAAAAAAAGCCAAAACCCCTGGATCTGTTAGTAATTCCATCAGATGAGACTATGAGAGATGAGGCATTTTTGTCTACTGAACATTGAGTGTGTTAGGTGGGGAAAGGGCTGTATGGAAAAATCTTCACTCAGGTGATGATGGGTGGAATAACCAAAAATTGTCCTCTGCCTGCCTATCTTTGTTAACGGGGAAGAGCAACATCATTCCAATATGCCTCTAGGAGAATCCTATAGGAATGCAAGCAGGAGATAAGTTTAAAAGAATAAAATTGCTCTGCTGATCCCTGCTGCCTTTAAACACCAATCAGTTGCACAGAAATTTCATGTGGAAATTGCAAGTGGTTTATGTTGCTATAAAATGTGATTTTTTTAAAGGAAGTTGAAAACAGGTGAGGTGGAGTGGATGGTTAAAAAAATATGTTTTTGCAGAATACCAGTATATGTCAAGATACTTCTGTTGCTTGCATAAAGCCTGGAAAGAAGTATGAATCCCAGTAATCCATTTAGGAGATACATACATACATACATACATACACACAGCCTATTGCATCTTGTCCTCTCACTGCGCTTACTGTCTCTTCAGTTCATTAAATACATTAGTAATTTTTACCAGAGGTTACTCACGTTTTGCCACTTTTTTGTTTCAGGAAGGCTGCAGTGAGTCCTTTGGAGAGCTGAGTTCCCACCTCTCCTTTTGGGTGTCTCGGCGTTGCTTGTCTCAGCCCGGTGAGCTCCTTGTGTCATGGTAGCGATCCCTGCAGCTGCAGCGAGCTGGACTCTGCTCCCTGCAGAAGAGCTGCTGCCCTCCTGCCAGCGGCTCCTTCAGGCCTGGGGTGAGCAAACTTTACCTGTAGAGCTGCCAGCTCCAGCAGGAGGGAGCTGGCCTGGCTTAGTGCTGCTGCCACTGGTCACATCCAGTTCAGAGCCTCGGCTGAGTTGTAAAACACAATTCTGTTTGATTGCAAATGTACTTCCAGCTTTGGGAAAGCAAGAGACTCTTTTCTGGAGGGACAAATATTTAATGTTTGTTTCCTGGCCCATTCCCTAGAATCTTAGCATTAATCTAAAAAAGAAGATTTCTTAAAATCTTGCTGTCCCCTTTTTGTCACTGCTTTGTTTTCTAAGTCCCCTTTGGGGGTGAGATTGAGGTTAACAGCACTGTGTTGTCTCCTGAATAAATGGCAAGGTTTTACGAGGTTAAGAAGTTTCCATATGTACATTTGCCTGTCTGTCCTCTAAGGCCAGTTTCCATCAGTCCTATTCCCGTTTCCTAAATCAGCATGTACTTCTTATTCCCCAGGCCTGCAATTGCAGTTAGAGCAGGATTCTCAGTATACTCAGTCGCACAAGATGCGTGCACAATACCTCATGCCTTGACCATTTTCTCGAGCTGAGTGCTTAGAACAACTGATTTGGGTAAAATTTTTCATTAAAAATTGTTTGGAGTTGTTTCATGTTGTAAAAATATCAACTGAAAATGAGGTGTTAGGGAGCTAACATTGCTAAACAAGCCTGAGTCTTATATTTTAGTTTTGTTGTGCTGGTAGGTGCAACAATTGCTATCAGAAAGCTCTGTGTGACTGAAATATTCATAATTTTAGGCAAATGTTTTAGTATTTTGCTGCTTTAGGGATATAGTAAATAAAATAGTTAAAGGCATACAAAGACCAGGGAATAGATTCCCATTGATACTTGAATGGATATCAAATTAAGTTTCTGCTGTATTAGCAAAACTTTATCTGAAAAACATTTGCTTCTTACTCTGTCTTTAGAAATATTACAAGATTGTAAATAAATGGAGGGTGTGTCTCTTTCTATACATATAGTCTTTTGTTTTAAAGTTGTCCTCTTCATATGAACAATTAAATTGCTTTTAGCTGACTTTGTCTACCTGAGGAGGGTGATCACACTGTAGAACTTTTTTTCTTGTGTACCCAGGCACATTATCTGGAAAATGTGAAAATGCATTGGCTACATTTTGCGTTTTTGTAAAATTACAAAACATGAAGTAAAGCCGTGGAAATGGCTCTACAAAAGATGTAAGTTCAATTTTTTTTTTTTCATATGAAGTGATTGTTAAGGATCTTAAGTTACATTTGTATGTCTCCACTGTAAATATGTGACTAACAGTTCTGCCTATGACTCTAGAGCAAAGTTTAGTATAAAAGCATTTTTCATGATCATTGGTGTTACGGTAAGCAATTCTAATTTGCCAGTGTTTATTTCTGCATAATCAAAATAAGAGTCTGTTTTTCTGTTACTTTTAAAATTTTTGTAGCACCTAATCTTCACAATAGCTTCACAAGGTCTCTCTTGATTTTAACAGCTTTTGTTTGTTGTGTGGTATTTGTTTTTCCTGCTTCCCAAACCTTCTGTGATACTCTACTCTAATACTGTGTATCAGTAGGTTGCATTCTCACAGGCTTGTCCTCTTTTGCTCTGGTGGCCGTGCATCGCTTCAGATACAGGACAAGTGGAGATTTTGCCTTTTCCAAATGTGTTACTGGGTTTTGTTGATCAAAATGCTGTCCTGATAACAGCCCAGCTAGAATGTTTGACAGCATGATTTAATTTTTGGATGAGACTTCCTAAGATAGCAAAGGGAGTCAGGAACAGTTCAAACTGGAAAATGGAGAGCAAAGCCCCAAACTTCATTGACAACATTAATGCTTATGTCTAGAAAGTATAAAAAATGGTAAAAAATTGTCTTCTAATAGAATTTACACTCCTGAAGCCATGTGCTTTCTCTGAAAATCCCCTTCCTCCTCTGATCTTGGTCATTTTCTCAACAATGTAGTGGTTTAAAACAGGACCTGTGTTCTTATGGAATTATGTGTCTGTGTGTAAAAGTGAATGCACTGAAACTTTACAGCTTCCATAATATGGAGGAATTAACCTGGAATAAAAACACTTTGAGAAAGAATTATGGAGGGGAATTAAACTTAGACACATTTGCAACATGACAATAGAAGTCAGTGTAGTCCTTTAGATTTTTTTCAGCTGTGTTTTACATAACCTTGTTTTGCTTCTCACAGAGACCTGCTCTGGCAAGGCTAGAACTTTAATGCAGAGCTGCTGGAAGTAGTTAAATATTGGAACCACTGCTGATTTGGTTGTATCCTCCAACATGACCAATCCTCAGTAAGTACCATGTGAAACAACTTCAAATGAAGGGGAACAGGCTGTTAACTGGAGAAGAATGATGTGACTTCAGGAAGGTTTTTTATGTCTGAAGAGTGTGAATTAGACATGAATAATGCTGTATGTCTGATGTTACTAGCAGCAGTGGCTGAAAACTAGTATATTATTTTCAGATCTGCTTATCTTTCTTTTTCCTGTCACCAAAGCTGTCTGCTAACACCAGTCTGTTTGTTTTTCTTTTCAATCAAATCAGACTTTTATCTGTCACCTGGTTTGTCTAAGAATACATAAACTCCATGCTGTTGGGGGAGGGAAGGTTGTACCAACCCATTTCCTTTTTCTTTTATAATACTGGAAATTGTATCATTGTATGCTCTTTCACACAAAACCTGAACCAGCTTGGACTTATAAAGGTAAATTGTCCACAGGATGACACTAAAGGTGAAAATCAAAGAAAAGTCTTGCTAAAATTAGCTTTTACCTCTGGGTTTCTGATTTCAGATTGTTTACGGGAGAATACAGTTCTGTTGGAAATGCAAGTATCTCATTACTTTCCATTATTAGTTACACATGAATGAAATAAAAGCTTTTAGGTTGTACTTCCTTTTACCTCCTTTTTCTGCCACAGTATGACACAGCTGCAGCCTTTCCCTGCCAAATACTCTACATACAACAGCATTTTACTTTCTTGGGTAATTATGGCAGCAGTTAGCTCCTTTTAATTCAAGAATAATGTCCTCCATCTGAAAGAATTAGTCTAATGGTGAGACTTTGACCACTGGAAACTTTCAAAACACAATTTTAGTTCCTTCATCCACATCTTTAACTGATATCCTTATACATGATATACCAGTTAGGTGGTAAAGCAGTCTCTTATTTTCAGGGGGAAAAAAGGAACTGCTAATCAGGTTGCTTAAATTTCTGGAAGATTTTAATAAACTTTTTTAAAATAAAATCAGCAATGCAATTTTTGCAGTCAAAACACAGCATGCTTAGAACTTTTTGACTGTATTCCTATGGAAAGAGAGTATCTTCATACCTGCTGTAAACCTCTGACAGTAGCCTGAGATTTCTTCCGAAGTTACCAAGCTCCCCTGGAAGAAAGCTGGAGAAGTTTGTGCTTGCACATCCGTGGAATCAAACAGGGCAAGCAGCTTTGCTGGGTGCTGCAAAGATCAGCCTTTGACATGCAAGCTCTGTCCTACAGCCAAGTCATCCTGTGCATGCACTAATGGTAACAGATAAAATTCCTACACAAGTAGTATCTTGTTCTAAATGTGGGAGACGTACACATTGTCAGACTGTTTTTACCTGTGTGGAGTTTCCATTAGTGTTAGTGGGCTGCTATAAGAATACATGAGCAGATTTAGAAACTTTACATAAGGTTAGTTAAGATAATCTTTATGGAGGAGGCCATAATTCTTCTGAATCACTGTTCCCTTTCAGAACTATTTTGAAATAACTTGTAACAGAGTGATCCTTTTTAGGTAAATGTAGCAAAGCTGCCATCCGTCAAAACTGTTGGAATCAGTATTCAAATCTGCAGTGGAAGAGGGGTCTAACTGCATCTCTTAGTTAACAGTTGATTTGTATATAATAGCTAAAAAGCCTAGCTGTTCATTGCTCACCAGTCTAACTTGCAGTGAGTCTTTAGTTGGTATAGTTACATGATTTCTTTCTGTTTTGCATAAATATTTCCCTTTTGGGCTTATGCATTTTTTCTCTATTTGTTTATAACTCGGCCATTTATATTTAGTGCTTTTGAAGCAGATTCAGCAGAGTGAAATGGTGTTTTCCTTTGTGAAGTTTCTGTTGATCACAGTGAGATCTACTAAAGTTTGGAGAGATTTGATCTGCCTCTTTAATGACAACACCTGCTTAATGACCTTGCAGAGGCCTTTTAAGTTGCTGTCTCTTCAGGATTTTATGAAGTTCTTGTCCCTAACTTCCTTTTACTTGCTTACTCATTTATATTTCTTTATGTGTATGCATGTGCTTATTACATTTTCAGGCCTACAATTGAAGGTGGTGTTTCAGAAGTTGAGATTATTTCCCAACAAGTGGAAGAAGAGACCAAAAGCATTGCCCCTGTGCAGCTTGTTAATTTTGCTTATCGAGATCTACCTTTAGCTGCACTTGATCTGTCTGTAGCTGGGTCCCAGCTTTTGTCAAATTTGGATGAGGAGTACCAAAGAGAAGGGTAAGTACAAAGGGCAGATTTTTGTTGTGTCGTTTAAGATTACAGGAATTTCACAGCCTGTAAAGCAGGACACCTTAAGTTGGAGAAGTGCAGCCAGTTGTCCTTAAACTCTGTGTAAAATCATTGTCACAGGATGGAGGAGAACTTTTCTAATATCACTAATCTGGGTTGGTTATGGCTGTTTATCATTTTAAGTGGTTCATAGCTACTGTTTGACCACAGTCTGGAAGCTTTTTCTCAGGAATGACCAGATTAAATACCTGGCCTCTCAGACAAGCAGAATGGTCTGGTAAAAGCTCCTTGAGAAAGGTGTTCAGGGTGATGAGATTTGGCTGCCTTGATTTTTGTACATAACTGTGCATCCTCCTGACTGAGAGATACCTGGTACAGCTAATTCCAGGACATATAGTGTACTTGTTACTCAGTAATTTGAATTGTGTAGTTTGCTAATGTGAGAATGTTGTCTTTGATATACATTATCAAAGTATATACACACTGCTCCTGTTTCATAGAACTGTGGTTCCAGGTTTATTGCAATAAAAGATCTTAATCAGTTCATAGCATCTGCCCAAACATAGCCCAATGTCAGATTATGTAGCATTGTTGTCCTACAGGACATTAAAAGTCATCCTTATCCCTGGTTCAGGCTTGAAGTAGCTGTAGGTGGACTGCTGTACTAAATTCTTTATGAAAGATTTGGGTCAACTGGAGAGAATCCAGAGGAAGGCAGTGAGAATGATTAGAGGCTCAGAAAACCTGCTGTGGAGTACTGATTGAAATAACTGTGTTTCACATGAAGAAGAGACTTTGAGGGAAGCTTCTAAGAGAGTTCAGTGAGGAAGGGACCAGCCCATTCTTGATCTCCATGAGGAGCAGAAGAGCTTGAATTGCAGCAGAGAGTAGTGAGGGCACCAAAGTGTTGGGGTGGGGAGACTGCTGGTTCATGTGGGAAGAAGGGGGATAGAGGTACAATTGCTGGATGTCTTCAGCAAGATGCATTTGTCAGGAATGCTAACCACTGTATTTAACTATATTTAACATCCATCAGGACAGAGATGGGGTGAGCACTGGTGCCAGCTCTCCCTGTTTCTGTGCCTGCTATTCCCTGGGTGTCACACTGAACACAGACCTACTCCACTGTCAGTAAGGTCCAGGGAGAGCACTTCCCTGTAAGCCATATAGAATGCTCACTGCTGAAGACTTTAAAAAGCTTTATATAAGCCTCCATTTATTAACAACTCATCCACATAGTGCGTTTTAACCTGTGCTCTGTAATTAGCAGAGACCTGCTTTATCTCAGCTCAGCAGGTATTCTGTGTGGTACTCAGGAAGCAAGATGTGGGGAAGGCTCTTGCCTTTAATTTCTTTCCAGATTGGACTTTATAAGACTTCTCAAAAAAGTTGTTACTCCAGACAAGGGGAAATACATTTCGAGTGGGTTATGTAAGTATGGTACAACTGTAAAAATACCCTGCATAGCAAAAGAGGCACTTGAAAATTAATTTGAGTATGCAGGTGTAACCCTCAGGCTATTTTGGTGCTGAGTCAATACCAGTTTAGTTCAAATATGCATTTTTATAGATTTTTATGATCTGAAACTCAATTCTTCGCTGTGCCAAAGGGCACAGGTCTCTCGCTGTAACCATTAGAGCAGCTCTGCAGTCTTAAGCATGGAAATAGGCTTGTCATTCTTTTCCTCAGCAGAGATCTCTCCCTTCACTCAGACTTCTTTTGTGGCTTTGTCAGTCTGAATGGAAATAAGCAGGTGCCCTCCACACCTCCCAGCTGTAGAGTACATTCTCTGAAGAAAATTCAGAGCTTAAGTTGGACATTCCAATGCATTTTGGCTGAGTGTGTTCAGCTGCCTTGTGGGAATGGTGGCTTCTTCCTTTCAGAAGCATACATGAAAACTGATGCCCTGAGAAATTTAGGAGCAGAGCTTGGCTTTAGTAGCCCAGTAGCAAAGTAAAATACTATCCCTGTGCCACCTCCTGGCTAGGCTGACTCCATGTGTTAGCACCTGCATTTATTCTGTGGGGCTCTGATATTCTAGGTCTGCAGCTGATCTAGACAAGCTGGAGTTGTTCTAATTGCAAGGCTCTGGCATGTGCCTGTGCTTGGACAAGACTGGGTGGTACAAGCTGCATCACTCCACAGCCTTGTTGGACAACACAATTAATTGTCCACAGTCAATAGTTCCTGGTTACTGTGGGCATTCACCAGTAAGTCTCCATTTCCTTGCATGGAGAAGCAAGAGAGACATCAGACTAGAGATGAAGGAGAGGGCAAGGAAGGAGTCTTCTGATTTAATGGTTTAGTTGTGTGCACCCCAAGGTGCACACACGGTTTTCCTCTACCTTTCTTTCTTTAAAGCTACAGGGTGCTCAGGGTCCAAGCACAAATTTGACCTGGTTGCTACCTAGGAGAGCTTTTTATATTATCTGAGGGAATGTTTCTCTTAGCAAAACTGATATTAATAGGCAGTTTGGAATAGGTGGGTCATAACCTTTGTTGTGTGCCTGGAAACTCTCGGATGGTGTCACATGAGCTACCCCTCCCACAAGAAAAGAAAAAAATGAGAAGGAAAAGGAAAAAGAAAGTTATGATCTGTCTTTAACTTGTTAGACAGACCATATGTAAGCTGACATTCCTGTGGCTTTAACACTGGAATGAAAGTCTTACTTTGTGCAGTTTGATAGGTCTTTGCCTTTTCACATCAAATTCTCAGGGCAGTCAGTTCCTGTTTGTTGGTGTTGTTGAAGGAATTTTGTGGACAGTTTGAGCTGGTTTTGTCAGACATTTAGATGACAGTGCTGATCCTGTGCTAAGCAACAAAGAAAGGTTTAAGGAGGCTAATCACCCAGAAAGGTGAGATGATTTTTTAAATGTTTTTAAATGTTAACACTGCTTTAAATGCCACTCTTAGTTTCTTTTTTTTTTTCCAATAAAGTATTCTGTTTTTCAAAAAATAGTTTCTCTCTTCTGCTTTTTTTACATCACGTCCAATAGAAGTGATGGAGAATAGCAGAAAAATTGACAACGTGCAGCAATTAATACATGGATAAAGAAAAGCTCTCCTTACTATATTCTTTGTAAGTTCCAGTTAATAGGTATCCATCACAATAAATTATAAAATAATTGACAGAAAGTTGCACTACAGAATGTATTTTATTATGTGAATATGCAGATAGACAATGAGTCTTTCTCTTGATAAAGATCTGTCTTTATTTGGGTTGAAAAACAAGGGGGGAGAGATGTCTGCCAGCTTTTCAATTATTTGTTGTATTTGTTTTAAATTGCAGCTCTCGAGTTTTAATGTTAAACATTTGAAACATTAAGGTGTTTTCAAATACTGTGTTTTACATCAAAAGCTGTAAAGTTTGTGAGTTCACAGAGTTAAATGTGATTCATTTGACATTAGCTGTAAAATAGTCATGCTGTTGTAATTTAATAATTTATGAAGATCTGTTCATAGCCTTAGATTTGTTTGGTCACAGGTAGAAAGGGCATTAAACAGTGAGAATATCGGAAAAATGAAAACCATGAGGAGAGAGAGCAAAAGGAAGAGATACCAAAACTGAACAGAGAATTACAGAGATGCAGAAATTAACAGAGAAGAGTTGTGAGCTCTAATGGTACCAAGTAGATGCTATTATTTTGCTTTTCAGATTCAATTTTCAGATATTACTTTTGATTTTTTGTGGTATTTTACTTGTGCTTTGTACAAAACTTAAAGGCTCTTTATCTAAAAGAGCTTGACTAGATCAAGGTCTCTCATTTCTCTTGTTTCTGCTTTTCTTGCCTTTATCTGGTGGCATAATTAAAAGTAGTTTTCTGAAAAGTTTTATGCACCTTTGCAGATCTTGGATCTGGAATAATAGTGAATAATGAGGTCCAAGCCCAAGATAAAGTGCAAAGGTTTTGGAGGCCACAACTATTTCATGTAGCAAGCTAACTCCTATTTACAAAAGTGAGTTGTAATTTAGTTGTAGCTGCCAGTCGTAGTGTGAATCCAGAAAGATGGTGCAAAATGCTAAGAGGAGGATGCAGTGAATGAGACTGTAGTGCTGATCTGTTCTTTGTGCAGTATTTTATCACTGCTGCTCTCAGTGCTGTGGTCCAAGACAGACCTGCACTGCAGCAGAGAAGGAGCATTCAGCTCAACAGAACCTCTGAGGTGCCCAGCTCTTCAATAGAGAAAACATGAAATTTTGGGCTGTGTTGCAGAGGTGTTCAGTGATTTAGAAATTTCTGTTTCTGTACACAGACTTTTTAAGTGTTTCTCTTGGTAAATTTTGATTTCCAGAGTAGCTCATTACTGTGTTTATCCCAGTACCTCAGTGCTTTGAGTGTTATCTCCCCCATGTCTTTTTATCAATTGGTAAAGACAGCTGTACTGTAAGCAAGACGAAGAATTAATTTTCTAGGTCAGCAATTTTAAGAGTTTTTCTGTTTGGAGATATTTCTGTATTTTTCCAACAGAGCTTGTTTTTCCTAGGTAGATTTTGAGGATAGAAATGTAGCATTTGTAGCCCACAGATCACTGTTTGCAAAGGTCTTTTTTGGGGACTGGAAATGACATGAGTCTAATTTGTCTGGCTTGACACTGGAAGTAGTTGTCTGAATTGGGGAAGATATGGCTTGGGGCAAAAATTGAAATATGGATAAGGCCATAGGAGAAAGGGGAACTGTGGGAATGAGGAATATTTGTCTGGAAGGCAGGTCTGTAAAAAATCCAGCTAAATGCTGAGCAACTTTTAGATCTAGCATTAGATTTAGCATTTAGAAGCAAATCAGATCTTAGGATTGCTTAGGAAAAAGAGAATAAAAGAGAGGCCATTGTTGTGCATCTCTATATATCGAAGCTTTGCCCGCATCTTGAACATGAGTGCAGTTCTGATCCCTGTCAGAAAGAATATGATAGATATAAAAGAACTGGAAAGGAATCAAAGAAAAAGAGTGATCAAAGATGTGATATGTCTTCCATTGGAGATTATTATGTAAACTAGGACTCTGCAGTCTGGAAAAGAGAAGGTTGACGGAGATTTGGCTGATACTACAAAGTCTGTGACACTGAGAGGTTAAAATAGGTTTGACACCCAGACACCCCCTCCCAATACAGTCTCTAAGGTGCATTAATAGGTTAAGGCCCAGTTCCAAAGAAACAAAAAGTGTTTGCTTGTGGCACAGAGGGCAGTAGATGCCTGAAGCTGCTTTCAGAAGAATGCATGGCTGAGAGTAGCTTATTCCCCACAAGGGGAGGTTGAACAAGTTGGGGGAAGAGAAATTCATTGAAGGTTACTAAATGCAATCTGAGAAAACACATCTGTCTCATGCAGTGACCAGATGGAAAAGAGTGGGTGAGAATATTAAGGAGAAGGATTGATGTTTGCTATGTTCTCAGTCATCTTGAGGCATCTGCTCATGGCCACTGAGCAGGAGACAGGATGCCAAGCCTTTGTTCAGTATGTTCTAGTATGGCTGTTCTTATGTTTCTTAAAGGGAGTTTTTGAGCTGATGTTATATTTCACTAAAGATGCTAGCATAAAAAGGAAAACCTAACAAGCAATTTTCTAGTGAGAGGAGTCAAAGGCCAGGTAATCACAGGATGTCTGTGGTGCACACAGACAAATGGTGTGGTATACACCTGTAAAGAAAACACAAATGATCCTAGAAAGCTTCAAGTACTTCAAATAGAGCTGGGAAGCATTCATGTAATTAATGAAGCTTATTCCAAAATATTATCTACTGCTCCAGTTGTCTGTATTCTCATGCAGAGGAGGCTGCTAGGATAGTTGCAGAAATTGTCTGTTCTACAAAAATAATGGGCTTTAATTGGATTGCACACGTGGCTGCCATTACAGTGTGTAATGCATCATGGACAAAATGCCAACTAGGGAAAAGATCTAATCATGCTAAAGAATAATAGTGGCACAGGAATGAGTGTGTATAAATTGGCCATGGGTGAGTTTGTGGAGAAAAGCAGGGGTATCTCTCTTGCCATTTGAGAAGCAGAATTTTGCAGGAGTCTTCCAAGAAGTGCAGTGAGACTTGAAATAGTACAAGTTTTAGGGGGAAAAAAGATGAGAGTGTTGTCAATAGTTAAAGTTCTGTAGTTAAACCAAGCTTGTAGAAGTCCAGAAAAGAGGTGCATAGCTCTGTGTGTTCCATGGAGCTCCTGCTCCAGGCCTCCAGCTGCTCCCTGCAGCCTGCTGTGAGACTCTGCTGTTGGCTTAGGCAGATTTTGTATTGTTATTTAGCCTGTGTTCCTGTCACTTCCTGACCATGGCCTTCTGCTCCTTCAGATAGCAATTTGGATCTCATCCATCCTTCTGTTTTCTGATCATAACCATCTTGTGAGGTGCAAACACTTGCTGTTTAGCCAAAAGAAAGAGAAAAAAAAGACAGTGTAAGGTATAACGCAGATTTTGGGGCATTTGTTTACAAGACCAGAAAATAGAAACAGTGACAGCTGTTAACAGCTTGAAAAAAACTGTTTGTAGTGGTTCCTTACCAGATGAATATGTTCAACCTTTCCCAGTTTTGCCTTATGTTCTTTTTTTTCCAAGCTGTTTATTAGTAAGACTAACAGGATGATGACAGATTGGCTTTGCACAAAGCCATGTGTGAAAGTATCTTTAAAAAAAAATTACCCTGGGTAAAATTCAACTAAATATATTTTAATGTCTCAGAACAAAACCTTACAGCTCAATGTCACCAACAATTAAAATTTTCCTGCACCAGTACATTTATTTACTTCATCCAGGCATTGCAAGAAAGGTAAATGTTATTTCTGTTGTAGAGACAAAGTAGCTGAAATACCTGATGAACCTGTTTGAAGTCATGCAGGAAAGTTTTCCAAAGTCACACATGTCTGTGAATTCAAGCAAACACAGTCAGGACACCAAGAGAATGTGTGCTTATTCTTTGAACAGAATAGGGGGTGTTTTTACTAGTTTGTGGGGTTTTGGTGGCTTTGGTTTTATGTTTGGTTTGGGGTTTCTTGTCTGAAGTGAGGGAAAAAGGTCTTTTACTTGTCCATTGTTAGTATGAAATCCCTTCATTAATTTATGAGCTTTGTAAGCTATATTTTGGTTTGTTGGGTTTTTGAAAATTCTGTGTGGCTGACTTTCTAGTCTGAGCTTAAAATTTTAAGTGTAGCTTTGCAGTGTCACAGGTGAAATGGCCAGAATTTGGAAGGTAAGTTCAAACCATTTCTGGTAGGGGCTTGTTTTTCTCCAAAACCAGATTTCTCATCTGTTGAATGAATAAATGAACCCTTGCACATCAGAGGGGGGAGAGAGAGAGAGAGACTACTCTGCTAAAACAGGTTCCAGGGTTCCAGAGGTGAGGTTTGAGTGTCAGGAGTCAGGGTGGTTGTTAACAAGGCACCCTGCAGACAGGGGTGTGCAGGTGCTGATCACTGTCCATCCACGTGTTACCAAACTCACCTTGGTGTAGCAAATTAGGATACAGAACTGAAGGTGGTTCTCCAGTGCTTAAATTTCAAGTCCTTTTGTGTCTTTGAGATCAATTTATATATTTTATGAGTGTGGTACAGGTGGAAATGTGCACATGAGCTGTACTTGACCTCTTCAGCTGATTGCTTTTTCAATTGTAAACTGGTAGTTTCATTCAGAATCTCTTTAGAATTGGCATTATTAATATTGAATAATAATACTAAACAGACAGAATGAATAATCCCATGTTATTTAGACTATAACTAATTAACAACTTGAGTAATAATTATCATGGTTGTAGGTATTGTATGCCAAGTATTACAGTTGGTTTATTCTTACTGGTACATACTGGAAAATCTTGACTATGCAGAGCTTTTAGAGACAGGTACTTTGGCCCTCTATGATTCTGTGAATAGGAGAAGCTGCCCTGCAGTATTAAAATACTGGCATAATGTGTCTTTTGGAAAAAGGAAACTAAATGTAAGCAGAAACCAGAGTTAAATCCTGTTCTGTTTAACCAGAGCCACCCCCCTTCATTGTTAGAAATATCCAAAAAAGCCCCAACCCTAAGCCCAAAATCATAGTTGCATTAAAAACAAGTTACTGTTTGGAGATGATGTAAAATAAAATCCATTAAAAGATCTAGTTGGCAAAACAGCCATATCCCAGTGTCTTTTTTTTTTGCCCTATGTTTTAACACAACATATATGAAATCTAGTATATTCTGTATTCAGGCTGGAGCTATAACAAAGTTTAACCTAAGGGCAATTTGCTGATAGTAACACTTGTCAAATCTTCTGTGAAGCTTTGAGAGTCAATTGAGGAGGTTTTTTACAGTCAGGCAATCAGGCAATCTGACTACAAGTGTTGTTGATATGCTTAATTCTGAGAAGCTGCTCAAAAGTGTCAAGTCTCTGAGCACTGCTTTGTGAGTATGTGAGAGAACATTCTGTGATGTTTTTCCAAGTGTTTGATTATAATGTGAGTTATTGAGTCTAGAGCTGTTTATTAGGAATTGATCAGTATCACTGTATCTTCTCGTACACCACTGATTTCTGTGTAGTGATATTTTAGTCAGACATTTTAGTGGGGTTACTGCACCACACTTGCAGCTTTTTAAACCCTGCTTAATAAATCATGTCAGCTTTTCATTACCTAATGTGTATTTACAGTGCTTTGAAAATCTGAAGTGGCAGGCAACCATCCCATCCAAACTTTCTGAGGTGAGCCAGTACAGGAACCTTGCAGAGCACTGTTGAGAAATGATGTGGTACTGCATCAAAGTGTTACTTAGGGGGAGGAGTTAGAAGAACAGTATCAGGATGGGCTTTATGATTCTTAAGTCCATGTAACTCTTATTCCTATTACCAACACTCCTAAAAGAAAAACAAAAAGAAAAAATTTTAGCAACCCTCTTGTAATTGCATTAGCACAACACTAATGCAACATTTATTGCTTTATCAGCTTCCCTCTAGAGTTCTGGTCCTCAGAACTTGGCCTCCTCACAGCTTCCTGCATCCTGCCTAAACCTTGTTTTTCCTCTGAATAAAGCTGACTTCATCCAAACCAGGTTTGGTGTGTGCTGTCCCCCAAGCTCTGGCAAGGTAATTCTTGGCCAGATCTACAAACAGATTGATGAGAGCTGGACAAATAGCCAAGCAAGAGAGCCTTGGCCAGAGGCTTGACACTAGCCAGGCTGCTTACCTTTGCTACTGTGAAGTGTAGTTGTGGAGTCACTGAGCTGCTTCTTTGGTGTTTTCCAGATTCCTGTTGTTCTTTTTCATAGTATCATGGACAGACTGTTGCAACCCAAATTTGGCAGCCCTTGTCAGATCTGTCGCATAGAGCAGGGATAAAGGTGCATGACCAGAAAATTCAGTAGCAGAGAAATCATTTTTAAGAAGTCATTATCTTCTAAATAGCAGAGTCCTGCTGTGCCTGGGTACTCACTGATATGTGAATGCAGCATGTATGTCAAAATAAGAGCACATGAGAACCTGTGAAACAGGAAGAAAGCAGAAATGTGTGTGTGATAATTAGGACTGCATGACTCAGTACACTGAAGGCACTTGTACACCAGCACACTCCAGATCTGGGGAGATCCCAGGCTGAAGGTTTTTCTTACATGTCTCCTGGTAAAGAAACCAGTAAAAGTGAACTTTGCAAATTGTTTGTGCATTATTGCTGAGAGTATCCATAACGGCAGAACTTAGAATTTTGAGTTCACTGCTCTTTAGCTCTTTTCCTTTTTCACTACTTCTTCTTTTCTTTTCTTGTTTTTCCCTTAATTTTATTTCCTTAGATCTAACTGGCTAAAACCGTGCTGTGGGAGACGAGCAGCTGTGTGGCAGGTATTTTTGCTCAGTGCAAGTCTCAACAGTTTCCTGGTAGCCTGTGTAGTATTGGTGGTGATTCTTCTGACTCTGGAACTCCTAATAGATATAAAGCTTCTCCAGTGTGAGTAGGAGGATTGGTTTTTTGGTTTTGTTTTTTTTTAATTATTATTTTTGCTTCTTAATTTTTAAAATTTTTATTAAATAAAGGCTTAACCTGCTGGGAGGTTTTTGAAGGGGGAGGATGCTGGGGATGGTTTTTCCCTACCATTTAAATGATTACCAGGCTAGGTAAGAAATGTGTTCTTGTGGAATCCTGGTATAGTGAAATCAGTCTCTTCTTTATTATTCTGACCAAAGCTAGATCAAATAACAAATTCAGTACAGGACAAATTTTCAAAGGATAGCAGCAGAGTGTACATGCAGAGATTCACAATGTGCTGTCATTAGTACTTGAAAAGCTCTGTCCTTTACAGGCATATTACATATGCACAGAAGAAAAGTCTGTGCAACCTTAATCTCTGATACCCATCACATGTGGCTAGACAAAAGTGATGAACATACAAAAATAAATAGGGTACTTGGTGTTAACCTCTTACTAATTTACTTCTGCTTGGGTGGATAGGAATTGAAATTACAGCCTTCTAGCTTGTAATGCACTGATATGAGACAGATTTTCATTCTACTTTGCTAACACACTGTGAGTGAAATAATGGCTTAAATGGAGTTTTGATTTATCTGAATTCACTCTACACAGGTTCCACAATAGAAATTTTAATGCTGCTGTTTTGCTTCTTATTTCATCGTTTTCCCCCTACTCTTCTTTTCCTCCATTCCACCCCTTTTTTTCTTTTTTTTACTTTTATGATACAAAGCTGACATGACCGGAAACACCACCTAAGCTTTCCCCTAAGCTAAATGTTGAGGAGTAGCCTCCATGCAATCTCAGATGTGTTGAAATGGTAGCTGGGGTTCAGACAATCCCATAAATGCAGGAGTACATACTACAAAAGAGTGTCTGGTGTCTCCTGTGGCAGCTTTAAACTGAGAAAACCAAATTTTTATTTTTCTGAAGTCCTTCTACTGTTGCAATTTGTCAATTGATCATAGTAAAGATTCAGGTATTGCAGTTGTATTAAGATGACTTTAAGGAATTTCATTGATGTATGCAGGCATTTCTTAAACTCTGTAAGATTAATAAATGACTGTGTCATTCCATGCTGTTGCTCCCCATTTCCACCCATCTGTCCATACTGCACACACTGTTCAGGGCATGGCCACTCTGTTACAGCTGGTACTTTCTCTGCTCTCTGGTCACTCATCAGTTTTGGATGAGGAAGGTCCAGGATTTGGGCAAGTCTGCCACTTTCAAAAAAGTCAGGAATGCTAACTGTGGGTATAAGGCCTTAAAGAGGAAGAAGCTTTCAACAATATTTATTGAGGTGTCACATCTTTCTGTTTATGTAGAGAATTTTCACTCCTTTTGTAGAGACAGAGGGTTTTAAAGACTGTTGATTTCTCTGAGTTTTAGCAGTTTTGGTTACTCTCCTCTGGAAGCAGCCAGTTTCTCACCATTTGTTTTCTGAAGAACCCTCTAAAGGATGCTTTACTTTAGGAATCATTGCTCCCCCATGTGTCTGGTGCATGTGACACTGCTGAAAGCTCTGCAACTTACACCTTGTGCATGACCTGCAGGCATTGGGTTGAGCCAGGTGACTTCACTGTTCAGTGGCCCCTGCCTGCATGGATTTGCTCAGGACACATTCCACTTGTATTAATGCTTTACAGTTGAACTAATGAATCTTGCCATGAGGCTTTTTACCTTTGCCAAATCTGTATACCTTCTGTCTTGTTTTAAATCAGATAAAGGCTGTCTCAGTGAGGCTGATCTGAGTATTCCAGTTGTGCCTTGTAAGGGCTGTGTGTCACTTTAATGTTTTGAAAAGCCATTAGCCCATAACAGTGTTTATCAAAATTGCAATTACTATTTTAAAAGGTCCCTTATTTTTTATAAAACCAAGCAGTACATTAGGATACCTTTCAGCACATCACTGCCAGTTCTGTCCATAATAATAACTGCTAATCCATGCTATACACTGTAATTACTTAGGAAGCCTCCCTTTATTAAAAGCCAAAGCAACCAAAAAAAAACCAAACAACAAAAAACCAAACCAAAACAAAAAAAACCAGAGCAAAAGAAACCTGATGTTTTAGAGTATAGTTTTTCTCTCCTGCTTTCAGTGTAGTCTTTGGCTGCATGATGCACTTCTCCCACACGTAAAGCTGTTGGTTTCAGAGGTGAACACAGCATTTGCGAACTGTAGGTCACACACGTGGAAAGGTCAGAGACCTGTTAGGGTATTTTAGCACAAAACATATTCATACCAGAATTAGAAATCCCAGAAAGCAAGGGACATATAATATAGGTCTTTTGTTTTAGGTCTCTGTTCTGTAATCAGGTTTTTTTTGTCTGTCTTCAAAGCTCCTCGCACGTGATAACAAAATAACATCCCAATGCTTCAGAAGTACAGACCATGCTATCCATTCCTCATCCCCAGCAGTTCTGGGGAAAAGGAGCTCAGCAAACGGTGTTAGTACTGCCCTCGTTGTGCAGCCAGGTGCACGTGTAGAAGGCAGCAGAGCAGCCCTTGCTGCCAGCTCTGTCCTGCAGAGGCTGCAGCAGCGCCTCGGTAACGCGGGGCTCAGGCCTTGCCAACAACAGCATCACACACACCCCTGCAGTGTGTACTGCCAGGAAACCGGCTACAACATCCACCGAGAGCAGGTGCTGCTGCTCACAGCTGCTGTGCTGCTCGCTCAGGGCTTGGCAGGATGAGTTTCCATCCCAAATTCCTGGTTGCTGTATCTTTTTTTTGTCGCTAGGGGGCAGCTGGAGCCTTGGATGTCAGTCGAGCCCTGTTGGAAAAGCTGCGTGCCCGTTCTTCACTGCCCAATGATATAGTGCCTTAGTAAACTTTATTATATTGTATTTTGCCCATTTGTTTCACCTTTAAGTAGTTCCTCTGCTGCAGCGCAGCAAATTCTCTCATCAAGCCCCAAAAGAGCTTCAGTAGTGGGAATTCCAGTGGTAGGGCATACTCAGTTTTATTTGTATCATGATTTCTTCCTACATCCTTCTTGTCTGCTTCCCATATTAATCGATTCTGATTTTAAAATAAAATTCTTCATTTAGTGTGTTTGCTGTATGTTCTTGGGGCACAGTTCAGTCTACCACAGCCCTGCACCTCTATGCACACAGCCATTGCACAGTCATTCTCTGACACTGCAAGACTGTGTAGACTGTGCTTTGGTCTGGCTGCTGTGGGTATTGTAGACACACAAATATCCTGAGGGGAAGAGAGAATGTTTGCTCTTCATTCCCTTAGTCCAAACTTGGGAGCATGTGGAAATAGGAATTGCTAGCAGTTCTGTTAGGGGACCCTGTCAACTTTCTGCATTTTTCTGTCAGCATGAAATGTATTTTGAAGCCCATTTTGAGCACTATTTTTTAAGCCCCTTCTCCAGACAAATACTGATCAGCTGTGCTGAATTGTCAAAGACTGAACACAAGGAATAATGTGGGGATAGTAGAGCATTCTGTTTCCTGAGCCCTAGATCTGCATTTTTAGGTACACAGGAATTAGTTATACATCCTGTACTAAAGCAGCACGTGGGGTGAGAACACAGAGCAGTGGCAGAGCATCAAAGACCTGAGCTGTGTCTGCCATTGCTTTCCAGCAGCAGGATCTGTTCAAGCTCCAGTGAAGAACTCCTAACATGGTGAATGAGGGTGAGCAGCTGCCAAAGCTGGAGTTCCATGTCCATTGCATCCCATCCTCTTTGTGGTACTTCCATTGCAAAACCTAAGAAAGCAAGCTTTACCATATGAAACTTGCGGCAGTACTGACTATGCTAAACCTAAGTTGCACTCTGCTACTTTAATGATCCTTCGTTGTGTTGTATTAATTGCAGTTTCAAGTGCTTCCCAGTTCGCAGGAGTAATTCACTGGATCAGCCTAGTCATTCTCTCTGTTTTCTTTTCAGAGGTATGTATAATGAAAGTCTTTCACCACAATATAGAGCTGCAAAGTATTTTTATTTTGTCACTGGAATTAGCAAGGATTTTACAGTAGTTTGACTGTAAATAATGTAGCACAGTGTATTTTAAGGAAAAAAAGCAAAAGTGTATTGTTGCTGCTTCTACTTAGCAAACTAAAAAATGTTATTTAGATTAGCACTGTGTGTCACTTGCTTAGAATTGGTAAGGAAACATGGAAGGGAAGATACTGCCTTACAAATTATGATTGGAAAGCTGCAGAAAGAAATAAGAATCTCTGAATCTGCAGGCACTGGACAGGATAGTTTGATCCATTTGTTATCAGTGTTACTGGGTATAAAGTATAGGATTAAGATGAAGATCCATAGGAGTTTTATATTAAAAGGTCTGTTTTGAGAATAGAGTTGTTTCCTCTCACAGTTTATTAAAGAAGTTTATATATTCCAGGTTGCTGCATATAGACCTAGTCAGAGAATGAAACAAATGGTGAATTTCTTTGCCAAAATGTGTGTGAATGTATGTACTGGAAAAGGCTCTAGTCATGATGTAAAAAATGACATAACTGGGATAATCTGCCTTTCTGAGCTTTCAGTTTTGTTCCAGAAAGAAGTCATTGGTATTGAGACATTTAGACTGCTCCTGAAATATTCCAAAATACTTTTATTGGTATTTTTCAGGTTGTAATATGTTACTTGTCACAAAAACAAGTTTTATGTTTGTTAGGTTGGAAGACAGCTTGGACTTAAAGATTTTAAAATATTTTTTCTGGTTCTGTAGGAGAAAATATAATCCAGAAAGGTTTGCTAATTACTTCATTCTATAGCAAATTTAGGTAGTTACAAGGTGATGGTTATAAAAAAAACAATAATCAAAAAACAAAGCTGTGATATCTGCAAATGATTTATTGGATCACTTGTATTGAATTCATACTCATGATATATGATTGGTAATTTCCATGGTGCTTCTAATGAAATACATTTACATGTATAATTTTGTATTTCTCAGCAGGGATTTTTAGCTGGTGCTGTCAGTGGGTGCTTTCTGAAAGGGTTGTTTGATGGCAGGCAGGGATCTCACTCTGCTCTGCATCCCAGCCCTCTGCACTTGCACAAATAGGTCCCATTACTGGCCCCATCCTTTGACAGTGGTGGTGGGCTGTAGGTTACATGTAAGATGACTGAAAATAATCCAGACAATTAAAAGAACTTGCAGTCTTTCCTTTGTGAATTGCACATCCTGATTCCCAAAGACTCATGTTTGCTAGGTGGTGTCTATTCCCTTTAAAGAAATACATTCCTCTCCCCACCAGAATCTTTCCTCTATGGGGATTAGCACCCTGGAGCTCCCTGTAATCCTGAGCTTCCCAACAGGATCAGCTTGTAACTGCTGTTAGCAGCATGGCTACACAACCACACTCACCTGACCCCTTTACTTTCTGGAGCTGCTTTCAGCAAAAGCCTCTCCTGTGCTGCTCATTTCCCCGCTGCTGGACTGCAGCCTGCAGTCCTGTTCTGATTCCCTTGCACCACCAGCACTCTGCTCACACCTGTGCTCACACCTTGCTCCTGTGTCCTTCCCTGAGTGCACAGCTCTTGTTGGGGGTGTTGGTGGCACTGCAGACACATCCTCCAGGCTGGGGCTCATCTGGCTCAAGGAAGGAATCTGTTGTGTCAGTTCTACTGGGACAAGGTACCCTCCGAAGTGGATGAACTAGTTCAGAAGTATTTTGCAGGAAAAGAGTAACAGTAACTCTGTTTTACAGAGCCAAAACAGGTTCCCTGACTCACCATCCTCATTTTGGATGTGTGTTGGCTTTTCTCTTTTTATTATTATTTGGAACTACTTTGTCTACTTGTTTTTCTCAGTTATTATGAACTTACCACTCACTTCATTATCTACTTCTGTCTTCCAAAGTAGCTTCCTTCACCTGCTTGGTTATGGTTTGAATTTAGATCAAAGGAAAATGAGGCCACAAGACAGCCATGTGCGGTGCATAGACCAGGGTAGATTTTTGGATATGGATTAATTTGGCAGCTCGGAGAAAGAGGTGGCTCCACAGAGCAGCTGGATGTGCTTCAGAGACCACCAGTCTGGGAAAGAGCTCAGGTGTACCTTTCCTGCTGGTTTGCTGATGTTGGCCTTATGCCAGGTTGAGTTCATGTTGAGTTGTGTCTTAAGAAAGGAAAAACAGAGGGTATAATTTTCTGTCATACTTTTTTTTTTTTTTCCCCCCAAGAGATTACAAAATACTGCAAAAATTGCAAGTGGCTTTTTTTTTTCATTCATCTTATTTACTCCTTTGGTCTCTTCAGGGGATTTTTTTTTTCCCCCCACTGATTCCCATACCATGAGTCAGCTGTCTTTGAGATCATTTCTTGAGGAGATCATGTGTTACAGTGAGATTTTGGAGTCTGTGGCTGTTCATGCCAGGATGATATTTCAGAGTTGAGCAGGTTTAATTATTTTACCTTGATATAACATGTAACTGCTGAGAATTGATGAGTCCTTCAGTCATTGTTTTTCATCTCAAAGCAAGGATTCAAGATTTCTGGTGTTCAAAAAAGGTTGTTTCCAAAGCAGAGTACCCTCTTCTAAATTTGGATGTTTACTGTTTATTCTGTAATTTGGTTCTCATTAGTTATAAATATGGATACACAATTCTTCAGAAAGGCCTCAGCTTAAAGAACAAAGTTGTAGAAAACTTAAGACCCATAAAACTTGCAGCACAAAATTGGAATGTTTTGGAAGAATACTACTAATTCAAGGTGGTGCTCTCAAAACATTGCAGGTAATGTGGAGTATTTGTTTGCAATTGCAAGTTGCATTGGAGTTGAAGTTAAACAGGCACTGGCTTTCTGCTTGGTTAGAATGAGGGGGCTAAACATGCCAGCAGCTGGCAAATGCCACCAGAACAGCTGCCAGCAGAGCTGAGTAGCTGCTCTTGCAGTATCTTCCTGCTTTCCCTAGCCTTGTCTGACAGCCACAAGCCTTAAAGGCACTTTGTTCATTTTATACTCTGTCACTGTCTGTGACTTTCCAGCATTAAAATATCTATATTCAAATGGAGTGCACATCAGCTTTGTTTGCTTTTTTTCCAAGTATTTGAACAGGATTTACTAGTGGTTTCTCTCTGTTTACATACATAACTGTGATTTGTCTGTGCACTAAATGTTACCCAGATGTTAAGGCAGAAGAGAAGAGAGAGGCATTGGGTGGGAATCCCAGTATCAGCAGCAAGGCAAGGCCGGGGTTGCACCCTCTCTAGGGGACAAATTCAGCCTTGGTATGAGTTAGCTGAGAAAAGGAAAATGGGGAATGCCACAGAGCTTTGGTAAGTGGATTGAAGTCTGCTCTTAACAGTTGTATCCCATTGCCACAAGTACGTGGTTCTGTGGCTATTCAGTTCTGCTTTTCCACTAGGACTGATGAGACTGTGTGCAAGAATGGAGTTCCTTGATATTGGCTGTTTGCATTTCTCTGTGTGTTTCAGGCAGCCCAGCACTCAGGCACTCTGCTGAAGGGAAGCACTTAAGGGTTTTCCTGGGAGGAACCAAGTCTTGTGTACTCAAAGTCAGGCAAGCACTGAATCACAGATTTTTTCTGGCATCTGTGTCCCAAGAAATGAACTCTCAAATTGAGTAGAGTAAGTCTGGGCTCCCAGCTGAGAAAAAATCTGTTTCATTAGCTATGGCTCACAGGAGGAAAAAACTCCAAGGCTTTCCTCATCCTATATGTTTAAAGGGAGTGTTCACAGTAACCTGCCAGTTTTCTGCTTGTTAATAGCAACCCTTGAAAGGAATAAAAGCTCCAATGGGAGACTGCTGTTAAGGTTCTGTTAAAAAAGAAAAACATCTTAAATGGCAAAACTAAGTAAAAATGTCATTCCCTTAACAAATTCATAATTTATATTAGAGAAACTCAGTTATGTTACTTTTGTTGTATTTTTTGTGAGCTTCAAAGAGCTGAGCAGAAAGATAATAATCATCTATTAATCTTCTGTAAGCTGTGGTTTCTCTTCTGTGTGTTTACTTTTATTCCATGTATACACAACTTTTCTCATGGCGCATAAATGCACTTCATTTCCGTATGTTTTGTTTTTTAAATGGATTGAGTAGTGGTGTCTAGGAACAAAGATAAAGATTTTATATATTAATATGATCTATAAAGGCAAATTTAGGCTTTTTTCTCTGCTAGTGTGTATAAAATAAATTTTAATACACTGGGAAATTTCTTAACTAAGCAATTTTCTGGCTTCACAAGAAGTAGTTACCATGGAAAATGGTTCTGTAAAGTTCTGGGAATCTAGCTGGACATCTGCCTGAAATGCCAGTCTGCCCATTTCATTTCCAATAGTACACCTAACTTACAGTGTTCTCTGTCAGTGCTTCATCTATGCTTTCATCTCTTGATAGTGGCAGTGTAGAACCTCCTACACCACGTTTCAGAGAGAAGTGTTAGTATGACCATGCCCAGAGGGAACTTGTGATGCAAGGCTGCCTTAGCCCAGTTCCTTGGCCACTGTGCATGTGTGGTAGAGTCTCTGCTGAGCTATTCCTGTGCCTTAAAAGCCCTTGGAAATCAATACAGAATTGTCAGTTGAAAACTCGTTGGTTTTACCCATGTGCTAAGAATTAAGATTGTGAGAGTATTGGGAGAACATAAGGAGAAATAAAGAGCATTTGGGTATGTGATGTCCTGGTAGTATTAGCACAAGAGAACACAGTGTGTGTCTGTTCATGGCATCAGGCTTTGGCAGGGAATGGTTTCTGTGGCACCACGAGCTGATGGAGCCCCAGCAGTTCCAGAGTGCAGGACATGGGGTGGGTTATATTGGATAATGGTGTGTGGGGCCTGTAGTTTCAGAGCTTTGGTTAAAGAAGCTCTGTGAGGAGGGTGCCTGTGCCCTGGTGTGTTGGTTTAAGCATGTTCCTCTGGGCTCTGGTGGGCCTGAGCACAGCATGTGCTGGGACAGCTCGATAGCTCAATACCAGCACACCAGGAGATGGCAATAGGATTCTTCAGAGGACTCAATGAGCTAAGGCCTCTGTGGAGTGACCCAGATGAGAGGGGTTATAAATTACAGATTGGGTACAAGGTGTTCTGGAGAGCTTTCAATAAGGATTTGGTCTTATGAGATATGTCCAAAAAGGCGAAAGGTTAATCTACAGAGTTTCTGGAGCCTCTGTAAGATATAGTTCAGTTCTGTGGCAAAGGGAGAAAGGTAAGAAAGAAAGAAGAAAATCTGTTCCAGCCTCTTCCATCCTGTCTATCTCCTGCCCAATCCCTACCCCATCCTGAAATGCAGAGTTGCTTCTCCTGTGCCTCGTGCTGCTGGGCCAGCTTCCCCTCCTCTGCTGCCTCCTGGTGATTTCTTCCCACTACAGAGGGATTTGACGCAGTGACTCACTGAGTAGTAAATTGTATATTAACTGTGCAAGCAGAAAAGTACTTAAAATTACCTATGTACTGTGCAGTCAGCTGACAAATGCAGATTGTGGTAATTCACACAGCTGGCTCAGCAAAGGACTTTGCCAAGTTTCCCTACAAAATTAGAGCGAGAACCTGCAGCATCACACAGTTCATCATAAACTTCACTGCAGACAGTTAATGTCATGCAAGCAAATGTGTGTCACCAGGAGACTTTGTCAATTTTGAAATTGAATTTCTGTCTGAAAAATGGTTTAAAATTTTATCTGGGTTTACTTCAGCTTAAAGAAGTTTACAGAACTGTTCACTCATTTGCCTTTTATTAGTGCATTGGACAGACTTCTGTATAATAAATTAGCTTTTAGGAGAAGAAAAATGTATTTCTGATATAACTAAAAATGTATGTGTTAAGGACTTTCTAATTAAAATATTTCTAGTCAAAAAACATTAAAGCTTTCTTTTTCAAGTACAAAAAACCAAGCTGGCAGTACTTTCCTTTAACAGGAAAGTGCTCACACTGATACTCAATATATTTTTTTTTTTCAAATCTGTATTCAAGAATGCAGAATGCCTGTGGTGTAATGCAAAACTCTGTGTGTGCATTTGCTACATGCCTGCACATCAGTAGGAAACAGCAATGCTACTCCAGTTTTTCCCTTTTTCTTCTAGATTCTTGTACTTAAAAATGGTAGAGTTGTGACTAACCTTGGTTTTGTCTGTGATTAATGTTTTACAGTTGCAATTCTCTTTTAATTCATATGCATCTTTTGGTTTGGTCCTTGAACAGTAGGTAGGAAGTTTCCTGGGTGATTAATTTCTGTCTCTGTGTTTTTTCAGATTCTGCTACAGGTCCTCATTTTTAATACATTCTGTACAGAGACAGTATACAATCAAATGCAATATATATGTATTTGTCTGAAATATATTTTTGATTGCTTTGGAAAAAAATAGTAAAATGTTATATATAAGAAATACCAATGCTTTCATTTGCAGTCAAAGTATTTATTATACTGAGCAATCAAGGAGATGCCCAGTACAGTCCAAATTTCTTTGGTTCGACCTCTTCTGGACGAGAGCTGTGGCAGCAGCAGTGGATGTTCTCTCTGCCATGGACACACAGAGGTAGAGTGGGGACAGCCAGGGCTGGTTTGGAGCTGTGCTGGCCCAGGGGCACCTCAGTGGCCAAGCTGGGGCTCAGTTGGGTCACCAAGGACAGACTGCCTTGCCTGGCTCTTGGCACTTCAGTGGTGATGGGGTTTTTTAAAGAGGGACAGTGCTGGTGCACAGCTTGAAGAGCTTCCATACAGAATAAATGCTTTCAAAGCTTACCCCCAGTTGTGCCCAGCTGGTTCTGAAGGGTGCATCTCTGGGATGGGAGGCTTCTTTATCCCAACCTTACACTCACCTTCCTGCAGTGTCTGCTCTTGCTGAGAGCTGAACTCCAAGGTGCTGAGCATCTGGGCATGCCTTACTGGACACCAACACCCAATCCTGCATTAAATGTCTGCCAAGTAGACTTCCAGTCACTGCTGATTTGTGCTGATTCACAGCAGCAGAATGGCAATGAAAACATTTGTGTTAGCTTCTAGCCCTTGGAACCACTCACACCAATTAACATCACGGTAGCACAGTCTGATTTAAACACTGCAGTCAGGAATTAAACAGGCAGCAAGGAACATCCTTTTTACATTCCCTCACCATTATGATGTTAAATCATACTTAGGGTTGTGAGGTGGTGTTTCAGTTTCCTTCATGCAAATATGCCTCATTTTAATGAAAATACCTTTGTGCACACCTGTCCAAAGGAAGACTTTCACCCTCTGTTTCTGTGAAGGTGTTAATGCTCAGCCATCCTGTAGTAGTTGCTCATTGACGTGGCATTTCATAAATACTGCCTAAGCATAGCAGAGCATGAGCTGTGCTCTCAGCAGGGTGGCTGTAGGAAAGGTGCTGCCCCAAGCTTTATAGAAGGCTCTGCTTGTCCTCATGTGTTTCCCCATGGCTGCCTGCTGTGGAACCTGTGTGGGCCCCAGGTACAGCTGTGCTGATGGGCTCACAAGTAACTTGTACTTCAGCATTTTGTGCAGCTCCTTGGTGGGGAGAGAGAGAGATGCTGGCAGAGGAGTTGGGATGCTTTTGCCTGGCAGAATTCAGCTCAGGAGCTGAGCTGAGGCTGCAGGAGTGCCTTGGCTGGTCAGCAGCACGTGTACTTGCACCTTGTGGCTATGTGACATCACATCATGCTGGCCAGTTTGGGGTTATTAAGGGACTTGAGCATCTGCTCTTGTGCATCTCTTCCTGCACATAATAAATAAACCTTGGGGTTATAGGTTATTATGGAAAGAGCCTTACTCCTATTCTGCATTTGTAAAGTGCTTTGGAAGTACAGTGTTTTTAGGAGTACAGACTGGCACTGTTGGCAGATCTTGCTGTCTGTGTAGAGTATCATTGTTTTTTGTAGAGGAAAGAGGATGCTGCATTTTGTCTTCTGGCTCGTGCCTCCCTTTCTCAACCAGCCTTGGCCTGTGCCTTTGCATACCCCATTTCTGAGAGGTGTTGGCTGGTTCACTTTCCTGCTCCTTGGTGCTGTGGGGCTGGGCTCTGGAAGCACCATCTACCCCACAGCATTGTCTCCTTGGGCAAAGCAGGGGTAAGTGCTGTTATCCAGGTTTGCAGTGGCAGGAGAACAGAGCACAGTCATCCCAGGCCAGCTGAGGCAATTGGGCTCGTGGGGGTTGGCAAAACCACACATAGGAACACTACTGAACAATTCAGTGTTGTTCTGCAATTAGGTACTGCTGGTATGTTTGGCATAAATTCAGAGTTGCTTGGATTAAATATTTGTATTTGTAATGAAGAGGAGATACATGTATTCATCAGAGTCGCTTTTTTCTGTACAATTCTGGCCATGGGCACCCCTCACATATAGGCCTGCTGAGCACTTAATTCATTATGCTGCTCTCTAATGGAGAAAGTAACAATTTGGTGGTCTTTGTAAGGCTCCCTGCTGCAGGTAGACTCCTCATGTCTGGCAAAATCTGACCTTGTTACTGTTGGCAGGAAACATCCCTACCAATTCATCTTTTATGTGAGTTCAATATCAATCACAAATTGACCAATGGAATTTATTTTATTTTTTTTTTTGTGTCTTCTGAAAGCCAAATTAAAAATTAGGAAAGGTGTCATTGGATTTTTTAATGGGAATTCACCATTGGTTCATTCTATGTTCTTTCTTTATTCCTCTTTTTTAGCTGTTGAATCTAACTTCTAAATAGTTCAATCAGTTGTTTATTCTCTAAACTAGACAGCTGTTAGTTTTTTCCAAACATAAAATAAACTCCCAGCAACTTCTTTCAGGAAAAATAATTTTTTGTGGTTAGTTTCTTCTTTCTTACTAAATACTAATTAATATAAATCCAGCACAGCTACTAATTGCTGTTTTGCTTCAGAGAGAGGGATCAGAGAGATATTTTTCTCCTTTATACCATGACTTTCTGGGATCTTATAATAAAGCCTTTGACTCCAGTGAAGAGCATCTGCTCTTCAGGCTGATGAAATGTACCTTTAGGCATCAGGACAGGGCATCTGCTCGTAGAAAATCAGTAAGCACTGGCATATCAAAGATGGCCAGAAAAGAGAATTTTTCCCCATTCTGACTGAGGGGGCCCCATGGTGGATCTTATCTAGGCTTGGGTCAGGAGGGTGGAGAGGGTTGGTAATCTAAACTACACAAATCTGAAAGCAAAATTTTAGGATGATGGAAAGACTGATGAGCTTGGAACTTGTTTGTGGAGGCTTTAGTAAGTCAATATAGTGGCTGGGAATCAATATCTGCTTTTTTAATATAGAAATTGAGCTATTTCTAGAACCTGGTTGTTATTTAGAAGAAATGTACAGTACTTAAATAAGACAGAAAATTATTCCCTAAATAGGTAAAGGACTAAATGTTTCTCTAAGACTAATAACATTCATAATCTTTTTTCCCCCCTAATCTATTTTACTAGACTATTTTGAGGATTGTGGTGCTTGGCATATGGGATTACATTGAAAACAAAATAGAGGTAAGCTCTCTCTTGGTACTGTTCTTCAGACAGCCCCAGTAAGACCATGAAGAACTGCTTTGGATGGCTTTGTTAACCTGATGCAATACAATATCTTTTAAGGCAGATAAATACACACAATCTTCTCATTATGTGCATTATCCATAGCTGAGTGGTACAATCCCTTTTTCCATGAGAGACTCAGAAGATTGCAATGTTTGAAAATATTTTATTAAGGGAGGGATTTTGGCCTTCTTGCTTTTTCTGTGCCTTTTGTTGTTAGAACTGTGCTGGTCTAACTGATGATGCTGCTAGCCTGAAATGTAAGAATTGTTACCTGAGTTTTATATCCCCATTGCCATAATTGAGTTGAAATTAGCTGAGTTAGTTGAAAAATTGCATGTAGTTTCCTGGTAGTAAATACTAGTTTGGCAAAAATCCCCATTTTTGTTGTGAAATTGTTTTGATAAACGCTGTAATTAGTACCTCAGATTAGAAATTTGGTAGAATGTGTGTAGTCTTGTAGAGAAAGAAATGGAAATTCATGTTATATTGTTGTTATATATATATATCATGTATATATTATTGTTATAAACAGTAGACAATCCCAATCTGAGCAGAAATCTGGAGATGGGTTAAATTAAAAGCTCTTTCTTGATACTGCCTCATAAACTACTACTGTGCAGGAAGAACCAGAAGACAATCTGGGTGTTCTTGGAGCTTAGGCAATCTAGAGACTTGCATATTTTTGTAATGAAGTTGTAAACATTTTGACTTGTTTTGCTCAAAAAATGAAACAAAACTTTAAATAGTTGATTCAGGGTTTCTTACTATTAAGGCTAAATGCAACAGCTTCTGGTAATTCATTTTGGTAATTTGGAATAGTGATATTTTTTCCTACCCATTGAGTAGCTCCAGTAAGAAGTATTTCTTTCCAATACACTGAATTTTTATACACAGTTATAAGTAAGTACAAATATCCATGCCCTGTCTCTTTATGCAAACAGTTAATCAATGGGCCTTAGCAGCAGGGGAGAATCTCAGCAGGAATGAGAACATGATGCTTTGTTCTACCCTGCTAGACCAGTGTGGGACAGACACAGCACTGCTGCCACCTTGCTCTGAAACAAATTTACTAGCTCATTTCTGTCTAATGCTTTGTACAAATGCTTTTTCTGATCCAATCCCAATGCAGCCAGTGTCACATGAATCATTCTGAACAGTCCCAATTGTCAAACCCCTCGCAAGCCTCGCTGCCCCATAAAGTGAGAGCAGGCAGTCTTTCTGTCTAGGTGCACAGCCATTCCCACACGTGTTGTGTAGCCAGGACATGGCCAAGAGCAATCAAGTCTCTTGGCACCATCTTTTTCTACTTGTTGTCTTGATCTCTTCATTTAGACAGTAAGATCTATGAGCAGGGACTGCATTTTTTTCTTAGATGACATTATGCCAAGTAACAGGTAATAAATACCAGTGATGATAAAACTCTTTGGCTGTAATAACATTTAGACTATCACTTCTCCTTGGGGATTTTGGCCAGTATTTCCAAATACCTTTCTCTCCCCCTGCCCTTCCACTACAGTTTATCTCTCCTCACCTCATAAAAAGCACTGAGGAATTCTGTTGTGCTACCTAAAAAGGATGCAGCCTTTCTGTGGCTTGGCCACCTCTCATATCCCTTCCAAATAGGTGCCACAATTGCATTTCTTTTGGGCAAAGGAGTCCTTCAAGATTACAAAGAGGAACAGCAGTGATATGATTTTAAGGAAAGGTTTGAAAAAACTGATTTCTCTCTAGGTGTTTGATGGTGCTATCATAATCTTGTCCTTGGCACCAATGGTGGCCTCAACAGTGGCTAACGGCCCCAGCAGCCCGTGGGATGCTATCAGCCTTATCATCACACTGCGGATATGGAGAGTGAAGAGGATCATTGATGGTGAGTGGGGACTCAGTTTGTGACTCCAGGCATTACCTGGCAGCCTGGGAAAAGAGGTTTTAAAAATGCATGAAGATTGGTTGCTCCCACTGTTCCTGTCATTGTCCTTTCTGTTAAATTTTGCTAGCACTAAACAGAAGAGACTTACGACTCCCATGGAGGAGGGTATGTCTGGAGCTCATGGCTGTATCTCCTGCACCCTAGGAGCCTTTATAATGCATTGGTTTCTTTTCCTGTTAGGCACATTCCCATCCCCTATCCTGTGAAGTAAATGTCCTGACCTGCTTCATGTCTCTTGCCAACAGATGTCATTCCTGATTCTGCAAAATATTTTATTCCAGTCTACTTTGCTGATACTTGCTGCACCCTCCCCATAACCATACAGCCAGCTCTGTCTTGGGACTTTATTTTCTAAGTTTGTGTCAGTAAATAAGTTTTATGTCAGATTCTGTGAGAGATCTTGCCCTGGGGATTCCCAGCTGGAGGTACTGGAGGCACTGTCTGCAGTACTGTACATCCTGGAAAAGAAGCGAATATTGGTGGTGTTTTGCACAGACCTCTGTGGGGATGTACCAGGGGAGGTGAAAAGGCCCCAACAAGTCAAGGTTGCAGAGAGCAGAGTCTGTGGCTGGGCCTGGAAGCAAGGACTGAAGTGTGGGTTACTGTGTGTTCAGCAGCTTCAGGCAGCTTGAGGAAAAGAAATAAATGAATGGTCATTTTGCTCATGTACGAAAAATCAGAGTTAAGTTATTATTTTGGGTTTAAATGCCCAGGAAACTGGATTCAGAGTTCAGGGGAGGTCATAGCCCTCTGATGGAGGCACAAAAGGAAATTTCAGGATTTTGTGTAGCTTCAGAAAACATTAATTGCAGTATGTATTGACCAGCTTTTCTGATCAGTGTGTTTGCCATAGTTAAGAAAGTAGCAAAATTTCTAGAGCCATACAGAAAACATTGAAAACTGGGCTGTAGCTTGAAAAGACATAGAAGATAAATGCCCCTTTTGTTTCTTCAAAATATCTTTCTTAGTCTGCTGTGTCCATTAAGGACTTACTTCTTACCACAAAATCTAGGAATGAAATGGTTAGAGCTCTGGAATAGTTCTTCTCCTGAGAGAGCTGTTCTGCTCAGGTTTAGAGGGAATTGGATTGACTCTAAAGAGAAAATCCTCCTACCCAGCAATTCAGGAAATGTGTGGTAGACACTGGGGAAGAGCTGTGCTAGCCTGGAATCTGGGAAAAGCAGGTAGCATGGATTTCTGTTCAGCTAGGCAGTTGGAGGTCTGATCAAACAATATCTAATCACTGCATTTCCCATGTTAGAAATCCTTCCCTGAAAATAGTGCTCTAGTGCTGCTTCAGTTCGAAATACTCCATTTCTCCAGATACAAGGGAAAGGGGTGATGATGTTCTTTGGCCTGTAAAGGTTTTCTTTCTGATGAAAAACCAAATCACAGCTGGGTTGCTTTAAGTGTTGTTTGTGTTTTCCAGCGTATGTCCTTCCAGTGAAAGTGGAGATGGAGATGATGATTCAGCAATATGAGAAGGCAAAAGTTATTCAAGATGAGCAGCTGGAAAGACTAACCCAGATCTGCCAAGAACAAGGGGTAAAGTTCAGTTGTCTTTATTTACGCATATCTTGTCAAGGCAAGGCAAACAGTTCATGTACTTTGCTGCAAGCTGAGCTTTGAGAAGTTCCACTGGGACTCGTGCTGTGGGGTGACAGGTCTCAGTGCGAAGGAAGCATTAGCTGCAGCCAGGATATTGTCAGCATGGTATTTGTCAAACAGCAGTCAGCTGCCTCTGCTGCTGGGCTTGTGTTTTTGGAGGTGAGGAAAACAAATGTGAGCAACAGAAAATAAATGGTTCCAGTATATAATTTATTGAATGAGTACAGCTAGCTTGACATAGTACTAACATATAAAAGCCATTGTTGGAGACTGCAGTTTGTATTCCTGGGAAAAGGAAGTGCAGTTAAACACAAATTAATTTCCCTGCTTTAAATGCAAAAGGTGGCTTCCCTGTAGGTCAGTCAGAGACTCTTGGCAAGCTCAAAATGTTGCAGTAGAAGCTTCTAGTTCCTGGAAGCAAGTCAAGATTTAAGACTCTTCCCAGGCCCCCAAATATTCACTGATTCAGTCTAGAGGTAAGGGAAGGTGAAGTTTGAAATATCTCAAATTAATATATTTTACATGAAAAAGGTTTAAAACCATTTTTGGGGCAATGAGCCAGGAGTTTTTGCCATTTGTATTATGCAAATGAGTTCTTGACTAACTTGCTTTTAAGTAGAACGTAGGGATGGATGTTGAGGCTCAGGATAAGTGAGTATTGAGGTGACCATCAAACCACTACAGGATGAACCCTAGGTGATTTACTTCTTGTTTCAGTGAAATGCTAACTGTGAGATATAGTCCAAATAAATCCTGGAGATTTCTGGCTTCAACTACCACTTCTGGCTTGTGGCAGGTACTTTTGAAATACAAAACCATCAATATTTAGGTCCTCAACTGAATTTTTAGGTTTAGGTCCAGGTCTCCTGGATCTCAGCCCTGGATTCTGTGATGAACTGCTGCTGGTGGTGGTGAGTTGCCTTGTCTGTGTGATGTATTAGGAAGATCTGTAGACACTGTCATTTCATAACTGGTTTTGAGTCACTCATATTAACCATAATAATTAACCATAATAAAGTTCCAAACCTAAGGCTTGGCTTCTGCCAAAAATTAGTAAGTCCCAGCTATGTAAGTGTCTTTGGTGGCAAAACTGCATTCCTCTTCATAACACCTTTGTACAATGATGCTTAATGATTTGGGTTCTGTCAAGGTTGTGAAATTGCCAGATAAATGGTATACACCCCATTTTTCAAGGGAGGGATTATCCCTTCACCAAACCCATTAAGCAAATCAGTGATTTCTTGAGTCCCAGTGCAATATTTTGTCTGTCAGACCATACTGAAGGTCTTGACAATCATAAACTGTAAAATATTTTTTTTAGGAACTTTGCTATCCATCCAGATAACACACTAAATCTCTAAACAATTACTGGTGTTACTCTTTCATAATCTGGGTAAAGGTGGGCTCATTATCCCAGGTGGGGTTCAGAAGCAGCTCTTGCTGGTGTTCAGTATGAGCCAGGTACTCCTGAATGTCTGGCCAGAGTAGCCCTAAATCCAAGCTCTGATGGTTACAACAACCTTTACATCAAACAAAGAAATACTGCACTGGGAGAGGAGTAAATCTGAGGAAACAGAGCAGGTTCTCTTGCAGCTTCCAAGTGTCCTCTGCTATGGAAAAGTACAGTTTATAGAAAGATGGCAGCATTATAATCCCTCTTACTGGCCTGACTTGGTGCCAAACAACTGTCTCAGCTGTATAATATCTGGTAAATGTACTAATTTGCTGCAGTTAGCAACATCAGCCATTGACATGAGTACTGCATCCTTTATTTGTAAATTATTAGCTTCATAATTCAGTCAAGAACAACTTGTCAGCATTATAATATTCACATTAACGTTGTGTACAGCATCTGATGGGAAACACGGCTCCTAATGGTATTTAATGTCTAAAATTCTGCCAGGTTTTTGCTTTTTCATTTGATCATCTTTCCTGAGCTCTCTAAAGGATTGTTTTTTCGTGGTGTTTCTGTGTGCTTTTCTGTTTTTGAGGGAAGGTTTGCCTGCATTAGTCTGGCTGTGCCAGGGCAGGTGGGTGCTGAGGGCTGCACTGCCCACATGGGCAGAACAGACAAGTCCCCGTGGTTCCCTGCAGCCCAGCAGTGGAGACAGGCACTGATTCACTCTGTGCTGCACATTTTGCATTTATTTGCATTTATCCAATAGTTAGAAATGGGGCTGAGCACATTGCTGTTGGAAAGGTTTCCCAGCACTTCTTTTTCTGAGATCCTGTATTCAGTTTCTTACTGCTTTGCTGCTGCTCAGGCAATTGGGATCAGAATTCTCAGGGTCTGGCATATTCTGTAGATGAAATGATCTTGAAAGTTTCAAGCAAAGTATTAATTATGTCATTAGAGGAGTTGGGAAAAAATACTTAGCCTGTTTTGCTTTGGATTTAAAACAAAAATAATTGGTGGCTGGTTCTCTGAGAAGTCCCATGCTGATTTGAAGCTGGTGCTTAATGCTAGGCAGACAAAACCAGAATTTCTGTTTCAAAAATTAAAAGCAGGAAAGATACAACTTCCCTTCATCTTTTTGAATTCTCTTTTGTCAGTTGTGGGTTTTTTTGACCAGTGATGGGGTATCACATCTATAAAGTACATTTCCATTCCTGACTGACACCGGAGGTGTACTTTTTTGCAAACATAGAAACTCTTTCCACATGCTGCTTTTTGGCTAGCTGTACATCTGAAAACCAGAATATATTTATAACTTTTACTTACACAGACGACCACTTTATTCTCTGTAGTACCCCACTGCAACTGTTTGAATAGTTTGCTTTTTATTTATTCTCTATTGGCCAGAAAAGAGGTTGTTAAACAGGAATGGAGCATGAGGGACTTTTAAAAATGGGTAAAGGTAAAAGGAAAAGAAGCCTCACTGCAGTCACTGTCAAAAATATGCAGAGTATATTGCTGATGGTTCTGTTTTATCAGAGTAACTTAAATTGCAAAACAAAGTTCTAAAGTTTCATTAGCTACAAATTCCAGTCAGTGAAGATTGCTTTTTTTCTCTGGAATCACCTGTAAATGAATTTCCATTTCTGATAATAGATATACTTACCTGATCTTTTCTGCTTAGCTTTCATAAGAGTAATTCAGCTGAACACAACCCAGCCAAGAGTATGTGTTCAGCCCTATCACACCAGAACTCCTTTTCTGTCAGTTCCTATAGAACTGGGGTTTTCATCATTCCTAACGCTGCAACAACTATGGAAGCTGTAATTTCTTTTTTTTTATCTTGGAATATAATTTGTACAACAGCTGCCAGTTTAATGACAGGGCTATTTAGCTGGTAAAATTACCTATTGGAGAAATAATGTATGCTATCCTCTTGCAATAATTTTAATTTATTTCTAACTACCAGTCATTTTCTTGGTGGATGGAAGGCAGCCAAGGTCATCCCGTGTTTTATTCTACCCGTAAATCATTAGTTTGCAACTGTCTCCTGATTTTTATTGTTACCAACAATGGCTAAACTAATGGAAATAAACATTGGATTGTATCCCAGTGGCAGATGAGTTTCAGGGCAGGGCATTCTGTACAGACAACACTAATAGAATTGAGCGAAGTTATTGCTCCTGCATTAGACACAAGTAAGCTTCTGGCTAAAATGTTCATTGATCCCTCAGAAGCGATGTCAATCCTGCTCTGTTGTTAGACCATAAAAAGTAGAGTACTCCATGATTCACTGCTAAGTCTCTTTCTGAGTCTACATATGTATTATAAAATATCAGCTAGGATGGGTGGCCCACTTAATAAAAACAGGCATAGAAAAGGAGATATTATCTAGAGCTCGGGGTAGGTCTATCAATTTACCTGCTTAGAAATAATCACCTAATGCATTATTTTACTGAGGAAGTGCACAGTAATGCCCCATAATTCTTTCTGCTTTGTTTCCTGACAAAAATATTGCCAGGTTTGTGCTGCATGTAACAAATTTTGAAAATGGTAAGTTTAAATTTGCCATTGATGAACTTTCTCTTCATGCTAGTCAATCTTGTTACTTACCCCTCTACAAAGCATACTCTATCTCCCTTTTTCTTGGTAGTAAGTGTATTTTCACATCAGCCACATGTGTTGCTGAGCTTCATTGTAGTGGGGTGTACCCAGATAGTTCTTAGAGGTGCACAGTGACAGTACACAAGCATGGAATGTGCAAACTTCCTGCGAAATACAGGAACAAACATTTTCATTATGAGAATGGGCAAGCACTGGACCATCTTGCCAGGAAGGTGGTGCTGTGTACACACAGCCTGGAGATAGTCAAAATTTCAGAGGACAGGCTTTCAGCAACCTGAGCTAAATGGAGCTGCTTTAAGCAAGGGATTGAACTAGATGGCCCTCCCAGTTCCATTTCAGCTTAGATTATGCCGGGATTTTATGAAGTTTACAAAAACACTTTTTCCATTACAAAATATGCTGGTACTTATTGGTAAATACCCACTAGAAGCTACCAAAGTATGTGTAATTGTAAAGAACATGAATGTCATAGGTGTCCTGGTAAGTCAAGTCAGTAGCAGCTTCAAGTGGAGCAGTGCTCTGTTTGTAATTGCCATGAGTTAGGAGGGGTTTGCCTTTGTCTCCTTGGTCACAAGTTATCTGCCACACGAGCATTTTTTTGCTCATTGGCTCTGTGAGATTTGTAAGGTTCTTGCACAGAGCTGATACCTATGATTTAATTTAAACAAATCAAAGCATGTGTTTTTGAAGTTTATATGCCTTTTTTTGGTTCTCTGATGATATGTGTAATATCCTTCTGGCCTACAGGCTGAGGGAAGGATGGTGTACCTGGAAATACAAACTGTGGTTTCCTCAGTGCAGCTCTGCTGGTCCAGCTGTACACAGATCACTGCATCAGCTCCTACTGCAGACAGAAATTTCACGTGTTACCTTGGCCCAGAATTTTAACTTAAAAACGCTTATATTTTATACCTCCTAATGATTTATTTTAGCTGCTCTGGGCTGCCTGAATGCAGTCAGAGCAATCTCATTAGCTCTTGTACACATTAGAACTGCCTGAGGTCAGTGTGCAATAGAATCTTCAATAGACAGAGGCACCTACAGCTCATGCAGCCTCTCGTTGCATTTCTCCTGTAAGGAACGTGCCCTTAGACTTACCCTTTGTTTTGGGGGGGTGCTTGGAGTGGCTGACACTTATTCCAGCATCTGCAGGATCCTGGGATTAATTGTCAGGAAACAATTCCTACCAAACCAGTCTCTGGAGATTCATGTCTGTGCCGGGGGGCCATTGGTACCCGGCTTGGGTGTCTGTGACAGGGCGACAGCAGCTCCAGGGCTGGTGCGTGTGACACGGTGACACTGGAGTCCGGTCCGGTGCCTGTGACGGTGTCCCCGTGCCCGCGGTGTCCCCCGTGCCCGCGGTGTCCCCGCGGTGTCCCCGCGGTGTCCCCGCGGTGTCCCCGCGGTGTCCCCGCGGCTGCAGTTCCCGCTGCGCTCGGCAGGTGGCAGCAGAGCCGCGCCGCGGGCCGTGTCCCCGCTGGGGACGGGAGCTGAGCGCGGTCAAACATAAAATTCACGGACTGTGCCCGGAAAAGCTGCCCGGCCGTGGGGACCTTAAGGAATGGCAGTAACCTGTCCTGTTTGGAAATGCTCCTTTATCCCCGGGAACTGTGAGTGGCCAACAGGAGTCTGGGCTCTCCCCTGTTTTTGCTCTGGGCTCCTTCTTCACACCTGTATAATGCAGAGATGCATTCAGGCTCTGATTGTTACAATGCTCAGCAAATCTTTGTAAATGCTGAAGCTCCTTAAATTGGATCTGATGCAGACATAGTTATTGAGCTGACTTTTAGCTAGTTCTGGTTGTTTTAAAAAATACCTGCCAAATTTTTTTATCTTCCATGAAAAAAGGAAATCATACCATACCTCTAGGTCAGAATTAAGCATTTTAATAACATTTATTTCTTTTTCTGACACATGTGAATGTTTTTGAAGGCTGAAATGTAGAAAAACAGAAATTATATTTGAGCTAGACAACATGAAAAAAAATCTCCAAATTTATTTTTTGCCCAACATGTTTGAGTGCATTTCTTCCATTAAACAAAGGGAGCATCTGAAAAGGTATCTTTTTCCCTTTAAAGGTGGAATGTAAGGTATTCCTTGTGATTCCTTGATTTTTTCAAGTCAAGGATAAAATCTGAAATTGCCTATGTTCATAGTGGCAGAAGCACCTTGAGCCTCAGGATGCTTCAGGCTGGCTGAGAACCAGTGCCAGTTCCTCCTAGCAATAGGTTAACACAATAGCAACCTGCAGGAATCTGGAGGCTTCATTGCAGGAAATCAGGGATCAGGGCAGTATTTTGACATTTGCTAATTGCACCTGACTGCCACTGCCAAAAGACCTTTGGTAAAAAACAGTGATCACTTGCAGCCAGCTGTTTGCAGCTGCCAGGCCTCTGTGCACTGAATTGCAGAGGGAGGAAAAGCTGTGTGCTTTGTTAGAGCTCTGCTTAGCTTTGAATGGGATCTGGAAAGCTTGAACTGCCCTTTGGCTTTCTAGATTTGAATTTTGCAATGAGCCTTCCAGTTACTGTAGTTCTGTGCAGATGCTCTGGAAAGCAGATAGTGGCCAGGTGTGGCAAACTGGAATCCCTTTTTCTTTCCTAAACCTGCAGAAATTCTGTCTGGTTTCCCCTCCCTGGTGTTTGCACCACGTCTGACTGCAATGGAACGAACAGGGTGTGGTGATGGGTTCCAAAATCTGCCAGTGAAGCAGATCTGAGTCACATCTGAGGGGTGAAAGGCACAGGCAGATGCACTCAGCCAAGGCTGTTCCACAGCACTTTTCCAGTGTGGAGGTGCCAATTCCCTGTGTGCTGTGAGTGTGGAGTGGCAGCTGCTGTGTCCTCCTGCTCTTCAGGCCCTGAACCAGCAGAGGCCCAGTGGTGCCACATTTGAATTTGCCTGAGTTTGCCTGTTACTCACCTCATTTGTGTTTCTCTCTCAGACTCTGGAATTAGACATTACTTGGTCGCTGATGTACTACTGATTTTAGAGTTGCTCTGTTAAAGAGAAACTCTTCTTTGCAGCCCCACAGTTGTGCTGTGTGGCACAGGGAGGTTTGTCCTGCTTATATAAGGGTTTAAAGGGTCTCTGCAGCCTCTCCAAAAAAAACCATTTTCCTTCTTGCATTGTGGAAGATGTGTGGCCATTGAAAACAAGAGAAATCTGCTGTATCCCTCAGTCAGATTGTACCTGGTAGCTTGTTTTTGTCAGGTGTCTGCTTTATAACACTAGTCATGAGCAAAGCTCCTTGTGGCTGCAGAAATTAATTAACATGTTTGAGAGGAATGGCCAGAAAAGCGGTAACCTTCCCCAGGGATTTTTGCACACTGCTGAGTACAGAAGATTTCAAGTCAGAAGAGGACTGTAGTATCCTCCCCTTGTCTAGTCAGTGAGGGAGGAACATTCTGGGTACTGCTCAGAGAACCTCCCCTCTACTGGAAGCCTCATTACAAACTAGTTAGGTATATTTGTCATGAACCTGAATGCCTGTTAAAAGTGGTCTCTTTCTATAAAGGTTACATGAGGTTGGGCAGTAAGACTTGTTAAAATTGTCCAAAATTTTACCTTCGGGAGACAGCTGTGCAAAATAGAAGACCAGCATGAGGCAGTTGTTGTCTTTAGATTATGTGAGAAGTGATACAGCTCACATAGACTCTGGGAGAGCACCACCAGCTTGGACTCATGTCCTGGCTCAACCACACTATTTGTTTTACCAGACTGTAGTGTTTAGTGATGAGTAACAGGTCCCCAGCTGTAGCATATAAACATCTGGCTGTGCTCACATGACATCAGTTTGTGGTGTTGTTTTTATCTCTAGTTTGAAATCAGGCAGCTGAGGGCCCACCTTGCTCAGCAGGATTTGGACCTGGCTGCAGAGAGAGAGGCTGCACTGCAGGTCCCACATGTGCTGAACAAACAGAGCAGCAAGAGGTACAAGGTGGTGGCCACTGAAGACTCGGACGATGAAGCCACTGAGAACATCACTGAGCTGCGACCTGCACGAGGTGAGTGCTGCCTCTGCACAGCTGATCCCTCCACAGTGGGATCCCACTGAACCTTCACTCCAGCAGGGATTAATTGCTTCCCACTGCTGCAGAGAGGCTGCATCTGCTCTGAAGTGGCAGGAGCTGTTGTAATTGGGAGCAGGTTCTAAACAGAGCCAGAGAAGTGACAGGGGAAGAAAATGGTTCTGATGTACCTTCCCAGTGTCCTCATGATTACATCCATCAAACACTTGAGAAGCAACAGCCAAATGAAAGTTGGCCAAAGGATAATCACTCAGAGGTAAAAGCAGGGAAATTGAGAAAAACATTGAAAAACAGTTTTGGTCTTTGGCCACTTGCATTTCTGTGGTTTGGAGAGGACTCCTGCATCAGCTGTGGGCCTTGCCTTGAGGCTGTGCTCTCACCAGTTCCCTAAAGCTGCCAGTGTTGGGCAGGGCAGCACTGGTGCCAGGGAAGGAGGGAAGTGCAGTGTGGGCATCCTGCTTCCATGTCTGAGTGCCACGTGGCCATGGTGAGGAGCACTCTGCTGCCTCAGGGTGTCTGCTGGGCAGCTCAGTGGTTCAGGCAGATAACAGCAGTTAAATTTACTTGGATCAGATTTTATTATGTAAGTGCTAGACCTGAATTTTTTACTGGAAAAGACAAAGCTCTTTTCCTGTGATCCACCAGCCCTTCCAGTGGAGGGCAGAATGTCTCCTGGTTGAATGTAATATTCCAGAGGAGACATTCTGGAATGTTTTAGTGGTATGTTAGTCTTCCTTGGGCATCTTAGCTTAATTATTGTGAATCAGTTAGAATTAGAAATTTGTATCTTTACATTGGTCAAACTCCTTAGAATTCAAGGCACTGATGCTCTAAAAGCTGTTAAAATTTTCAAATTATAATCCTTTCTTTTACAGAGTAGTGAAAGCATGTAGAAATTGTTTTGGATTTTTCCTCTTTATAATATCTAAGTACTAACTACAGTAAAGTCATTAATTATTCCTGATATGAAATTGTATTTAAAAGCAGAGAGTTGAGCAGACTGACCCCTAAAATGCATTTCCCTCTTTTTTTAGTGTTTCAGAGGTTTCCCTGGTGGTTATATTATAATTTATGCATGTATTCCTTGCGGGTTACATTCAGAGCTGAAGAGTGTTGCACACATTGTAAGGAAGCTTGCTGAAATTTTAGTGCTGTGGAGGTTGATCTAAAAATTCTTCTGTCTAAGGTATTCATTCCAACATCCAGGTTAACAAAATTAGTCATTATTCATGTCATCCTGTAAAATGCAGCACACATTTGCAGCAAAGTAGATACCAAATCTTCTGGATTGATTTCTGCACTTAGGTTACATGATTAGAGGGATTTTTGATTTTCACTGATAAAAAGTCATTCAGCAAATAAGAGAACATGGATTGCTTCACATATTGGGTAAGGTGCAGTTATGTTATATTTAAACATTTATACTGAGTATGCAGAATAATTCCTGGAGATCATCCAAAAGTACCAGAGGGAATGTTTCTTGTGCACTGTATTATATATTGCATACAATGTTTTTGTAGATGCACTGAGTGCTTGTTGTCAGAACCTAAATGAGGGTGACTGTATTTGAACAAGTAATTTCTGTGGAATGGGGCAGGAGCTGGACAGGAGAAGTTCCCTGTGTTTTTACAGCAAGGGCCAGCAGTCTGTGATAGTCTGTCATCACATGGGGCTGCCAGCACAGGGCCCAGCTCAGACTGCATGAGACACCACACACCAGCAGTGGTGTTCAGTGTGCACAGGCAGTCGAGGCAGAGGATTTCACATGGCATTTCCAGGATTATTTTGCAGTGCTGGTTTAGGGGATTGCTCCTGTGTAACTTGGAAATCTCAGTTCACAGCTGGAGAAGCCAGTTACCTTTGGGCAATAAGAATCCTCTGCCTCATTCTTTTCCCTCCCCAACTCAACTGGGGCTTTCTTCTCCAGCACCAACTCTTACTCATAGTGGTAGGCTGGCAGTTGCTGCAGTGGCTTTCAGCATCCTCCCTTTGCCATGCTGGCAGTATCTTCTTGTTGTACTCCTGAGCAGTGCAGGAATCAGCCAGCACTGCCTGGGCTGTGCCAGGTGAAAGCAGGGCACAGCAGAAGGTGGCTCCATGTCCTCTGTGTGGGAAGGGCATATGCAGTTGGTGTGGGATCTCCCATCTCCCCACCTGCTCAGGCATGTGAAATACTCGGAGATGTGGCACAGACAGACAATTCTATATCCCCCTGCCTATCCTGCAGTCACATTTGCTGTGCTGCCTTCAGGGCTTCCCACACCACTTGCTCTGCCTGGAACTTTACCCACCATATCTTAACAGCTGACCTTTGGGACAAGGGTTATATTTTGCAAGTTCCCCTGTATGTCAGACCACATTAGGGATTGCTTTGCAACCATTTTCTCTATGCTGTGTTTTTCCTCCTTAAAGATTCTGGAGTGAGGACTGCAGCTAATCATTCTGAGTGCCACTTTGCACTTGTGAGCTCTGGAACGTACCTGCCATGGTCTATTGCACTGCTAGGGAGAGGAGAAATGAGGGACCAGGTCACTTCCACTGTTGAGAAGAAAGCAGCAGTTCAGAGCCACAATTCAGCTGTTTGGCAGAACAGGCTCTGATATGCTGTTGTTTTATGCTCTGGCAGAACATTAGCCCTACATGCAACACCTGAGGCTGGGGGATGGAATGGAATGCATGTGTTTTTGCCAAATGAAACTTTGTCAGCCTTCAAAAAAATCACTGTCTTCAGAGAGCTCTGAATTCTGCCAAACCAGCGAGCTTGAATTGGCTAGAGAACATACTGCATGAGAAAATGGGATATTCCATCTCTGGCTAATCTTATTTCCCCCATCTATATTGAACAATGGAAACATTCAGTGCAGAATTCTTCACCATGAAGAGCTGATGGAATAAGAAAGCATTGAGACTTTTTACTCATTTCCCTACCTTGAAGTTTTATGGGACAGTGCATAAGGTAAAGCTCCTCAGGGACAGCTGTAGTTTGTCCTCTGGTATTTACAGAGGATTTTGTGCAACCATTTACTACAGCTTTCAGTAAAGTCAGGTAACCCCAGTTATATACCAACCCACACGGTATGTGCAGCACCTCAGGGAATTCATGTAGGGACACACAGTGACCTGCACCAGGAGAGCTCTGTATGTGCTGGCTGATTTGGGAGTTTTCAATTGCATTGTTTTCCCCCAGATTTTCCTTCAGGAGATCTCGTTCTCTTTGTATTTAAAGTGCCTTAATTGCAGGTACCAAGACTAGGAGAAGCAAGAGCTCTGGTCAGATGGACAATGGGCTCTGAAAGTCCCATAACTCCCCATGTAACATTTCATGCCTCCTCCCAAAGGCCATTTACCTCCTGTGGTAATTCTGGGAACAATGAGCTGGTTGCTGCCTCACACTTCTCCTGAGAGCAGTTCACCAAGAGATGTCCTGACACAGTAGGAATAACTCAGTGGAAAGTGTATGGAGGATATATGGTATTTATGGTAAATATGGTAAATAATGGTAATTAATGGTAAAGAATGGTAAATATATTAATGGTAAAGATGGTAAATATGGTAAAGAAGCAGGAGGTTTTTTCACCTTTAATTTGCTTTGAATTGAGGTTTTATTTCTCTTGCCAAGCATTTTATCTCCAGAGCAGACAAATATGAAGGCTGAAACAGTTTTCAGCCTGCAAGTCAAAGGGTACCAGTATCAACAGCAGAAAACAAATAGATCCCAGAGAAGGGCAGGGCTGGAGGAGCTGCAAACCCAGGGCAGAGCTCTGACATTTGCTGCACTCTCAGAGCACTTCAGCTCTGTTTGTGAAGAGCTCGGGCTGAAAGCTGCTGCCTGTGAGTGCACAGCAGCATCGCTAATGATGTTCAGGACCATTGTGGTCAGCCTTTCTCTGAGAGCAGGGAAATACCCTGAGTGCTCCTTTTTTCTTCCCAGAGATGGTTGCCATTTCACATCATGGCAAATATCATCTTGTCTATTAATCTGTAAATTATAAAGGAAGTTCTAAATTATAAAGGACTTCTTACCCCGTACAGCATGTAACTGGTCATGGTGAGAATAGCAGCTAATGTTTTCTTGTTCTGCACAAATCATTTTTAGTGTTTGGTATACAAAGTTCCAGGCTTCAGGGAATGCCAGGTTCACAGTGCCCCCTTTAGCCATTAATACTTCCTTCCAAAATTTATTATTCTTTAATCTCTCCCATAACATATGAATTAGAGTCCCTAGTGGAAATTCCTCATTTTCCTGCATATATCATTTCAGTTTTTGAAATTCTACAGTACTGCCATACTGTAAGATTAATATACCACCCTTCTGTACCTTTGAGCAAGAACCGGAATTTCACATCACTAAAAATCTTTTTTTAACTGTTCTGAGTCAAATTTCCATTTTTATGGGGTTAGCAGTAAGTCTTTTGCTTTGGGGGACTGCTGCAATTTATGATCATTTAAAGAAAAGTAAAGCTTGCCCTTTCTGTAGGGTACCCACTGTTTTGTAAGTGAAGAAAGTAGGATACTGGGAGGGGAGCATGAAAAATTCTGGAGTTTCAGAGGGCTTCCCTTAAGATTATTCATAAGCTGTCTGAGAAGGCAAAGCAGGGCACTGGGAAGGATTTTGTTAGTTGTTCCTTGCAAGGCAGTCTGAGCTGGTTGGATGCTTTTAAACTCTAAGCCAGTTCCTTTGGTGATCATCTGTTAGTGCTCTAAGAGAACCCTGTTAGTGCAAAACAATAGATAAAAAATAGTTTATGGTTCTTTTCAAATGCTGAAATGTATCTACTTTGAAGTCTACTCCTGGAAATGGAGTATCTAAGTGCACACTACTTCAGCTTGGCTTCTCTCTAGCTGCCTCTTTCAGGCTTTGTGGTTCTCTGTGCACTGACCAGCCAAACAGGAATCAAAGAAAATAAACCTTAAGCAACACTTAGAGAAATGTGTGTGCAGTTAGTGGAGTCAGGCTCTTGTATTTCATAGTCACC